CTATGTCTCGTCTCAGACCCCAGTGCTAAAGATGGGGACTCAGATGAAAGTTTAGAAGTGGAGCCTGTGAGTGGGTAACCGTGGCGCAGCAGTTACTCACCCTCCCTCCCTTCTTTCCTTTCCTTCCTGCTCTAGGGATGCTTCTTACTTATGGACATGGCACCTCATCTGACTCTCCCCCTCCCCCAAAAGGACTCCTCTCAAATCCCTGGTGGGTCACGTTCAGGCAAGCCTTGGGGTAGAAGATATGGGCTCTGCCTACATCTTTGTCTCTTAGTGGCCGTGGGTGGATTTGGTCCCTGGAATGAAACTGGCAAGACCCGTGGGCAGAATGTTCTTGATCCAAAGCCGGGCAGCTTCCTTCCCTCCGGAGGTTGAGCCCACAGCTGCCATGTGGGGTGGCACTCGGGATGGCAGGGGCCTGTGCCGAGGCTGCGAAAACCTGACCCGGTCTCTCCTACTTCCCCGGACGTCACCTCCTTCCCCTCAAGACAATAAGCTGGGGAAACAAGAAATTAGACACGCCTACTAGGAATGAGGTTCAAATCCAGGGGCAAATAGAGAATTTGATCTGGGAGACAAAGTTGTACTGCCATATAATGTGATCATTCTTAATGTTTATAGCATTTGTGTGAGAGCCTGATTATGCGTGAGTTTGCTTGCTGTCTCCTTCTGCCTGGCAGTTGAAGAACACACAGTCCACAGGGCCACTTTCTGAGACGGCACAGCTATGGTACTTGCTCTGGGCATCCCAGCGCCTGCCACCCCATGTGGACGGAGGGATTGAGGGGGACTTGGGTCCAGCCAGTCTCTGAGACACACTGAATTCAGAAGACGGCTACAGAAACAAACGTGAGGGAGCTCGAAAACAGAGCTAGGAGAAAAGGCCATAGGAGTGGGACGGATCCCAACGAGCTTGTTCCTCTTCCTTTTGCCAAGATTGGAAGCAGTTGGAACACTGGGACCTGGCACCTTATTGTGTCTCTTCTCATGCACAATTCTGGGCTATGCAAATAACAACAGTGCACATGAATGTTATATGAGTGAATGCAGTGTGTATCTCTTCTACTCTTCCCTCAGAAGGGCAGCCTGAAGAAGGGCAGGAGGTTCTTAGGGCATTAGTAAAATCGATTAGAATTTAGGTCAATTGGCCAGGTGCAGTGGCTCACGCCTGTAATCCTAGCACTCTGGGAGGCTGAGGCAGGAGGATCGCTTGAGCTCAGGAGTTCAGGACCAGCCTAAGGAGGAGTGAGATCCCACCTCTACAAAAAAGTAAAAAAATTAGCCGGGTGTGGTGGCATGGGCCTGTAGCCCCAGCTACTCAGGAGGCTGAGGCAGGAGGATCACTTGAGCCCAGGAGTTTGAGGTTGCTGTGAGCAAGGCTGACACCACTGCACTCTACCCAGGGTGACAGAGTGAGACTCTGTCTCGAAAAAGAAAAAAAGAATTTAGATCGACCACAGGACATTGATAGCCGCACAAATGGGATGACATGTTTGTTGAGGGCAGAGGTACTGTTGTATTACCTTAAATTACTAGAATTTTCTTTGTAGCCAAGACCTAAAAACTAGCCTAGGCCATGACCAAGATGGTTGCATTTCAGGAGAGAATTGAAATTCCTAGCCAGGTGTGTTGGCTCTCACCTCTATTCCCAGCAGTTTGGGAGGCTGAGGTGGGAGGATTGCTTGAAGCCAGGAGTTCGAAATCAGCCTGGGCAACATAGTGAGACCCCATCTTTACAAAAAATAAAATTAATCTGGGCATGGTGGTGCGTGCCTGTAGTCCCAGCTACTCAGGAGGCTGAGGTGGTAGTATCACTTGATCCCAGGAGTTCGAGGCTGCAGTTAGCTACACTCATGGCACTGCACTCCAGCCTGGGCAACAGAGTGAGACCCTGTCTCAAAAAAGAAAACCAAATTCTTCCCACATGGCAGCCGAGAAGCAGAAGGGGGCACTGTCACCAAAATTTAGGTTGTTCGGGGGAAGCCGACAGAATTCTGCCAAATGTCATAGACATGTGTGGCCAGTTGGGTGAAGCAGGAATCTCATTTCTGATCCTAAAGAAGCACAAATATCAATCACAGTGCTCTCAAAGATACAAATGGATACGTTTTGCCAGTTTCTTATATGGTCACCTCTCACCAACCATGAGGTTTACAGCTCATCGAAATACTTATCTACAGAGGCAAAATCATAGTTGGCAAGATCAAGGTCTCATAAAGTACAGGCAGTTGGGAAAAATAAAAGTTGTGTTAATATATGTGATTAAAACAGTATGTGAAAGTACTAGGAGGCACCCACACCCCAAATAACCACTACCGAGTTGGTCGTGAGGTGACTGTGTGTGACGCTCTTGAATTGCTGTCTTTATTGTCGGGAGACGTTGCCCACACCTCAGGCCTCGCTCCCCGGGCTGCGCCAAGACCAGCCCTCACTGGCTGGAAGTGGAAAGCCCTTGGCCGTCGCTTTTTCACCGGATCTTCTTCCCTCCCTTCCACTCTCTCTCCCTCCCTCTCTTTCCCTCCTTCCTTTTTAAAATACAAGTCTAGGCAGTTGTGTAACCTCCAGGCTCTTCACAAATTATGCAAAGCTTAAGGGCACGTTCTCTAAAGTCTGGGCTTCCAACCCCGGATTATCTGGGAGCCTCGCTCTTCATCATCTCCTTTCCTCCCCTCCCTGGGTGCCACCCTGCAGCTAGTACCCTGACTCCTCTAGCAGCCCCTCGCCAGAGTCTGCACGGCAAAAGCGCAATAATTCAGGATTTTCCCGTTTTATCTAAGGAGTTAGGACAGAAGTAACAAGATAGTTGATTTCATATTTTCAGTAACAAATATAAAACAGTATTATCTCCAAACCTGAAATGAAAGATTGATGCATAAAACGCTAAAAAAAAAATAACCCTCCCTATCACAAGCCGTGCCGAGCAAGGGGTGGGGAAGGGGAAGGTGTGGTCTGGCATCAGGAGGAAGGAAAACGCAAAGGTAAGTATGGAAATGGCTTCTTGGATAAGTTCAAATGCATTTTCAGTTAAGAATTACATAAGACCTGCTGTGTGTTTTAAGACCTCTATGTTTTCAAAGCTCAGACCAAGAAGTGGGCCCAGGGGGCAGCACGAGGGGTAGAGGCAGGGCACACAGACCACCTGCCAGGGCGGCTACACGGGGGCTCTGGCCACAATATCAGCTAAGATTAGCTCGGCCGCCTCTGGCAGAAACATCCCAAATCGCAGGCTTCAGTAAGATAGAAGATCACATAGAAGACCTGGAGGCCAGCGATCCAGGGCTGGTGCATTGGCCCCACAGTTCTCGGGGACCCAGCATCGTTCCGGCCTCCCGCCCTGCCCCTCCTTGGGTGTGGCCTCCTCCTCATGGTCTGGGATGGTACCGAAGCTCCAGCCATCACATCTCCCCTCAGAAGTCTCACCAACCTGCAGTATACCCTGCCTGGCCAGAATTTAGTCATGTGGCCACATGCCCAGTGAAACAGGGCTTCAAATGATTTGAGCGAGAAGGGGAGAACCTCCACAGCTAAGAAAAGTCATCGACCTTCCGCATCCTGGGGTATTTGTTCACTTAGTAAATACTAAGTGCTTGATACTAATATTTTCAGGCACTGCTTGCGGGCAGTGGGGAAACAGGTAGATGGATTTCTGTTCTCATGAAACTTACAGTCTAGCGGGAGTCAAACAGACAAGACAGGAACGACGAATGTGGCTGGGTCGACAGCCCACATTCAGGTGTGGCTGTACGCAAGTAATGGTGGGAGCAGGCAGTGTCTAAAGCCCCAGGATGTCATGACAGCCAGCACCAGCGTCTCTTTGATGCAAATTCTGTTCTTCAAACACTCGTGAGCACCTGCCCAGCAAGAAGAAGAGGGATGGGAAGAGGAGGGGGGACAAGTAAACAGTAAGCTGGAGCCCCACCTAGAGATTGGCTCCAGAGTCATTCTTCAGCCAGGGCCCCTCATGGGCCAATGTGCAGGGACACTAGAGGGTAAGAATCCCGCCCTAAAATCCCAAGTCTGTTTTTGTTTTCTTTGGTGAAGGATGTGGGGCTCTTTCCTCGCTGAGGTGCAGAGCAGTCCGATAAGGAATAATTTTGTGGCTCCTGTGGGCATTTGGAGGGCAAGCTGTGGAACTTGGGAAAACCACAAGAACACAGCTTTTTCCTGCTCATGTGACCTTCAGCGAGTGGTCCCTGAGCCTGGCGTGTGCTGGGAACTGGGCAGGTGTCCAGGCTCAGTTCGTGTGTCGTGAGTGGGCATGGGTTGTGCCCCCCCAGAATCCCCTGCCGTGGCCACTGTGTGTGCTCTAGACAGTGATTCTCAAACTGTCTTGGGAGAAGGACCAGTTGGGGTTTTTTGTTGTTGTTGTTAAGTTTCAATTTCCAATAATCTGTCATAAAAATGAAATGAGGAAGACATGGAAAATGCTAACTCAGACTTATAATTTTAGATTCAAGAGACATAAAATTGCCCTAATTGCTCTAAAGCTTTCTAAAGACTATCTCAATTCCTGAATTTGAGTTTGCTAGCAGCAGAGAATTCAGGAGCACTGCTACCAGCCCAAGAACTGTACCCAGGGCCTCCCTGCCCCAGAGGCCCAGGATCTAAGGCCAGGCAGGAACTGCTGCCCTTCCCCGCTCTGTGCTAGAGCAGTTACGAAGCAGAATGGGGACTCTCCCCCGGGAAGAGAACAGCCTTCCCTGCAGGTCTCACTGTCTCGCACATCTCTCCCCGGCCCCTCCTGCCCAGGTGACTGTTTCTTGAGTAGACTCTCCTATCGCGGTCCCCATGTGCAGGTGAACATTTTATTATGTACTTGTAGCCAGAGAAATGAAAGGTCACAGCTAATTGTAATCATTATCCAGGCTCCCCCACCTGAGCACAGCTTTTGGCATACACTGGTTCGATCACAGCAAAGCAGCAAGGCGGGCGGTGTCTCCAGCTGGCCTACCTGGCCGGGCCCGCAGGGTGAGCTCACTGTCCACCCTGTGTTGCAGTTCTCCAAGGAGAGGCACGTCATGGACAGGACCCCTGAGAGGCTGAAGAAGGAGCTGGAGGAGGAGCTGCTGCTGAGCAGCGAGGACCTGCGCAGCCACGCCTGGTACCATGGCCGCATCCCCCGACAGGTACCTGGTCTCGTCCCCTCCAGCACACACCTGGCTGCTCCCAGGCAGTGTCCAGACTGATGACCCTGCGGGGTCCCACTCCGAGCCCCTGTTTAGCCAAAAACAAATACCATAAAGTGACTTAACGTAGACCTGTCTCTAAGGAGGCCTTCGGAAGAACTAAGGTCAGGAACTCAGAGCGTGCTTCCGCGTGCCCAGCGAGTGGGAGGAGGGAAAGCCGGTGTCCCACAGTCGGCAGGAGGCAGCAGTGACCTGAAGTCGGGCTGCGGTTCAGGTAATTGAACTCCTGGCCAGCTGCCTGCAGCCTCATACCTTTGGAACTGGCGTCCCTTTTAAGGCAGTGGCTTAACTTCAGGAGAAGACAGGGCATCACAGGGGCAGGTGGCCCAGACCAAAAAGGCTGCCTCTGCCCTTGTGGGCCCGCAGTTATTCATTCCATCCGTCCTTTCCCCACTGCGTCCTGTGACCCAGAGATGGGGAAGAGACGACCACAGACTGGTGGCCTGGTATATACTTTGGGTGATTGCCAGGAATAATGTTTTTTTTACTTAATATTATAAAATTGAAAAATAGAATAAATCTACAGAATTGAAGTAAAGAATTTCCCTTGGGTTTTTATCATAAACCTGATCTGGCCAATCATTAACCAAGGACAACATGACAGGAAGTGTGTGGGCAGGAGGTGAGGGGAAGGGCGTTGTGAATTATCATTATTATTTTTTTTTAGTGTAGCAGATTTCTCCGTGTGATCAAAGAAATAATTCTTATTCTGACTTTTTTTTAAGTTTAAAATTGATTGTAGAAAATATAGAGAGCAAAAAGAAGAAAATTAAACTCTCATCCGTAATCCTGCCTCCTGGAGATAACCACCGTGAACACATTGCTATGCGTGTTTCCTCCCAGTCTTTTCTAAATCGAGTGCGGCTCATACTGCATGTACTTTTTCTGTAGCCCACTCTCTTCATTTAATATGTCCTGGGAGTTTTCACCTGCTATAAGGTATTCTTCTGTGCCAGCCTGCATTGTATGTATGCCCATGGTATACACGCACCACAATTTATTGGAATTTGGGGGGGTTCTAACACTCTGACCAGCATCCTTTAAGGTAACTATTATGTTCATGCCTATAATTATTTTCACAGGCTCAATTCCAAGAAATGGAATTTCTGTGTGAAAACATATTTTTAAAGCAAAGATACAATTTTAAAGTAACTACGGTAGCCTTCTAATTTAAGCTAACAGAAGTATACTATTGATCAAATATTGGAAGGTCCCAGAAAAAACTATCAGAGGTTATAAAACTGATGACTGTCACTGCCAACTTTCTCCTTACTGTGATCATAAAATTTGTTTACTACTTGCCCTGAGTATAAATTTGCAGCAATAACTCACTCCAGACTGGATAACTGAACACTGTAACCATAATAATGATAGTTATAGCTCACATTTTACCCCCTTAAATCTTTATGGCCACTCTGTAGGTAATATTATCCCCGTTTTACAGATGATGTAACTGAGCTGCAAAGAGATTTTGTATGTTGTGCAAAGTCAGACGTCTGAGCCATGATGCAAACCCAGGCCGGCCCCAGGAACCACTAGGTTACGCCACAGTGTAAATTCTGCTTTCTTTTTTCTTTTTCTTTGGGGGGAGTTTAGGGTTTCTGTTTGTTTGTTTTTTGAGACAGAGTCTCACTCTGTTGCCCCAGCTAAAGTGCAGTGGTGTCATAGCAGCTCACAGCAACCTCACACTCCTGGGCTCAAGTGATCCTCTTGCTTCAGCCTCCCGACTAGCTGAGACTACAGGTGTGCACCACCACACCCAGCTAATTTTTCTATTTTTTGTAGAGACAGGGTCTCACTCTTGCTCAGGCTGGTCTTCAACTCCTGGCCTCAAGCAGTCCTCCCAAAGTGCTAAGATTATAGGCGTGAGCCACCAGACCTGGCCTAAATTCTCCTGTTACTATTAGCATCACCATCATCACAGTTAACTGTTTTTGAGCATCTGCTGCATTCCGGGCACTGTACAAGTGCGTTGCAAATATAATAACTGTGGGATGAGGGACTCCAGCCTGACTTTGTTCTAGTCCTTCTATCTGGGAATTGGTGTGTCCAGAATCCACACACGTCTCTGGTTCCACAGTCCTGCATGGGGCGCCTCCTTCCCACTGGCTGGGCCTGGAGAGGGGCATCTTAGGAGAGGGCTCTGAGGGTGACTTCTGGCATCCTACCAACAAACACCTTCCTTCTCCTCACTCCACTGGTTGGGGAGGAAACTCAGACCCTCCAGGCACACATTTCCTCATCTCTTATTTTCTGTCGCTTTACGTCCTGCCAGTCTATGTAAACCATCTTCTCCAGACACGTCCCTGACCGTGCTGTTTTAAAGGACAGCCCTCCTCCCCTCCCAAACACGATCTCCCTTCCTGATTTAGTTTTTCCTTAACTTTACAGTATCAGACACACCATAGCTGTTGTTTATTTGTCTTCACTAAAATAGAAGCTTTCCACTCAAAACGGGAGCTCCACGAGGTGGGCTCTGGCCTGCTTCGGTCACCGCTGCAGCCCCAGTGCCTGCAGTGGCGCCCGGCACGTCGTAGGGGGTCAGCGAGTAGTTCTCGAATGAACGATTGGATCTGCTACGCAGTTGACCTTTGAAAAACTAAAGAGCCGACTGAACAAGAGCCGTAATCGCACTGTCATCTGTTGGCAGCAATAAGCCTTCAAAAGGAATGCGAGTTCGCTTTCCTATTCCTCACTCACCATTTTGTCCCAAAGGTGTCCGAAAACCTCGTGCAGCGAGATGGCGACTTTCTGGTTCGAGACTCGCTGTCCAGCCCTGGGAACTTTGTCCTGACCTGTCAGTGGAAGAACCTCGCTCAGCACTTCAAGATCCACCGGACGGTCCTGCGGCTCAGCGAGGCCTACAGCCGCGTGCAGTACCAGTTCGAGATGGAGAGCTTCGACTCCATCCCCGGCCTGGTGCGCTGCTACGTGGGCAACCGCCGGCCCATCTCCCAGCAGAGCGGCGCCATCATCTTCCAGCCCATCAACAGGACGGTGCCCCTGCGGTGCCTGGAGGAGCGTTATGGCACCTCCCCGGGCCGGGCCCGGGAGGGCAGCCTCGCCGAGGGAAGGCCAGATGTGACCAAGAGGCTGAGCTTCACCATGGGCAGTGCCCAGGCCCGCGAGCAGAACTTGCCCAGGGGAAACCTCCTCAGGTGGGTCGGGGGCTCCGCAGATGGCGTCAGGACCACGAGAGGTGCTTAGGGGTGCCCAAGCTTAGCGAGGCAGGTGAGGAGTTCACCCTGGGACAGAGAAATAAAAGATGTTTGCAGCGATGCCTACCGTTAGTGGAGCGACTGTCACAAGGCTGTGCACAGTTAGATCCCAACTGGGTTGTGCCAGGAACAAGTGGTGCAGCGCTGAGCAGGGGACAGGCCGGGCTGACAGGAGAGGGCTGCGGGGCTGGGGTTCGGGCTGGTCTGAAGGCCAGGGGAAATTTGGGTCGATGCTGCCAAGGGGAGGGTGTTCCAGGTGGGAGGCACAGTGTGGGCAGAAGCGTGGAGACAAAAGGGCAGAAGAGCTGGCGTGAGTAGGTTGGGCTGGAGCAGAGGCTCTGTGCAAGCAGCCGGCCACGGAGGCTTCTGGAGGTAGCCCTAGCCGGACCACAGGGAGGCCCTAAAGCCAGGCTAAGGGCTCTGGGGGAGCTGCAGAGAGTAGTGAGCATGGTGTCCTAAGCACAGAACTGGACCGTGATGAGCACGGGGGAGGGGGGTGAGCAGGGAGGGAGAAGAGAGACCAGGAGGCGAGAGTGGGGCAGAGCCAGAGTCCAGAGAGGCGGGACGCAGGGACTCCTCTGTGTGTGTGGGCAAGTCTGAGACCCAGGAGTGACCAGGACGGGGACTTTGGAGGAAAAGCCAGTCGTTCCACTGAGACGTGACTGAGGGCTTGTGGAGTGCTGGCATTCAGCAGCGGTTTGGGGCCCAGGAGGGCTGGGCTGAAGTCTTAGATTAGAGTGTGGTCCACAGGGCAAGGGTAGTTGACTCAGTGAAAACAGGTGAGTTTCTAAGATAGCAGGCGCAGAGAGCGTGGAGGCTGTAGCCTGAACCTCAGGGAATGGGGCGGGGGAGAAGAATTCAGAGAACTACTTGGAAAATCAGGGCTTCAAAACATCGCTGAGCCGAGGACCCTTGCTGTCAAATGTCAGGGGTGGTTCCTGTGCTGTATAGGACCTGCCTTTCATGGAGCTCAGAGTCCGTGTGCGTGTTACCTACTGTCAGGTGGGGACAGCAGGGAGGAGGCAGGCGCGTGGGGCATAGACCAGCCCCAGCCCCTCGCCGGCTCCGCAGCTTCTGGGCTTATACACATAAACCAATGTGTTTTATCCACTCATTGGTTTTCTTTCTGGACCATGAGGAAATGTCATAAACTGTAATTTCTATACTGCAAAAATTCAGAAGCAAAATACAGGACTCTGCGAGTGACGCAGATGGAGCCGTGTGGTACCTGGAGGCTCCGGCATCTGGGTGTGGACCCCGCGGCTGGGGCGGCCAACTGCGCAACCACGGGCAAGCAGTTTAACCTTTCCAGGCCTCAGTTTCTTCATCTGGAAGATGGGGCTTATGAGAGTTAAATGATTGATTATGTGCAAAGTGCTCAGGATGGTGCAAGCACCTAGTCGGTGCTAGGTAGGTGCTTAGAGTCACAGTTGTCATTGGAGGGGGGAGAACGTGAGACGCAGGGCAATCGGCAATCCTCATTTCCATAGTAATAACATTGGACATAAGATCCCTTAAAACATCAAAAGGGTACCTTTGCTCTGTTTCCTTGGCGGTGGGGTTGGCTTCTGAAGGGTCGAAGCCAGGAGCTGATGTCCTGAACGGAGCGAGCATATCTGGCAGCCCTGCAGAGCCGCTGCTCGGTCTGGCGCTGGGAGGAAGGCCTCCTGGTTTGCCCTCAGTGATCCTGGGTTAGGAACTAATCTTTTTTTAAGATACGAAATGAAAAAAAGGACTAAGAAAGTCTCTAAGTCAACAAGGGCAGACAGAACAGAGCCACTTTTCTGTCTCCCCTTTGGAATGCAGAACCTCCTAAGACTAGTCACTGCTTCACACAGGCAGCAGGCACAGAAATGTCTAAGTGGGGGGAGGGGACCAAACAGGAAAGGTGACCCCATGGCCCACCGCCCTGCCCCGCTGCCCTTGAGTGGCTCAGGGACGTCAGTCCTGGCCCGGCTCCACCCACGCTGACGTGGGGCCGGCTGGTTGGCGGGCTGGCGGCCGGCCCTGGGCAAAGGTGTGCTCCCAGCCAGGTTGCTCCAGGCCCTGCTGCTCTGGGCTCCTGGAGTCTGACCGATCGATCGATTGCTGTGGTCACTGCTTAAATACCACTTCTTGGAAGCCATTTCCTTTTGGAATTTGCCCTCTGTCTTGCCTTATCTCTGAGGGGTTGCTGGAATTTCCCTGTTGCTGGGAGTTTGGGTTTTTTTTAATCTGTTTTTTCTTTGGTGCTTGCAAAGGTAGGAAAGAACTTTGCGATTTCTGTAACATAAGAATGTTTTATGCTTGTGGGAGGGCCAATTAAAGTTCATTACAGCTTGGCTGGTGCAGTGCCTTCTCCTCTAGCACAAGTTTCTGCTGCTCTTTGCTGATTGGAGACATTCGCAGTTTGCACTGGAAAGGAACAGGAGGAGGAACGGCGAGTGTGTTGAAGGTTACATTGTGCCTCTTCCCTGTGTGGCTCCCAGTTGCCACTTGGTGACCGGCCGGTGCCTTTTGCAAGCTCAGCAGCAGGGGGCTGTCTGTGAGGACCCCCTGCGCTGCCAGGAGGATGGGGATGACAGCCTCCCCAGGCTGTCCTGCCGATTATTTGGAAGATGCTGAGATTTGCACTGAAATAGAAGCTGCCCCACAGCTTCCTTCCTAACCGTGACACTGAGAAGCATGTGGAAAATGCATGTTAGTTAAACAAGTCATTCCCCTGGGTCTGTAAGTAATTTTAGGCTCTGTTAAAAGTACACATTCCAGTTCCTCAGATTTTCCCAAGAGTGCAGTAAAACTTTTACCCTGCTCTGTTAAACAGGATGGGAAGGCTCGGAGGAGGCACCCTAGGACTTAGCTACACGGGGCACGGGGCTGGCGCACACGGCACAGTGTGGACTAATGGCCATCAGTCATGTCCTCCTCCAGCGGACGTTCCTTTACTGCTAGGGTATGCTGGAGCACTCTCATTCTGAGCAATTTCCTTTCTTTCCTTTCTTTCTTCTTTCCATGATGTTGTCTCAAGGTTTTGTAATTTAATGACATTTCTGTCCCATTTGTCTTTTGCTTCAGAAATAAAGAGAAGAGCGGGAGCCAGCCAGCCTGCCTGGATCACATGCAGGACCGACGAGCCTTATCCCTCAAAGCCCACCAGTCGGAAAGTTACCTGCCGATTGGTACGTCCCTGGATATCTTCAGGGAGGAGGGTGGCTCGTGATTCCGATTTCCTTCAGGCGGTTGCCCTGCTCAGTCTAGTCATCTGTCTAACTTGAAGCTGACACGAGGCTCCGTGCCTGCAGCCTAGAGGGGAAGTGGTTTCCAGGACGAGAGCCAGTTGCAAAGCACTGAGCCAAAGGCTTTATGGATGCTGGCTGTTAGGCCTCATAACAAGCTTTCAAGGTGGGCGTGATTATCCCCATTTCGCAGCTGAGGAAGCTGAGGCACAGAGAGGTTAAAGTAACTTGTCCAGAGTCACCTAGCATTTGAAGCCAGGTTTTCTGATTTTAAGCCCATTCGATAATTGGGGCCTTCATGATAAATGAGCCCACTCCCTTAGTCCCCTTCCTGGGCAGAGGCTGGCGGCAGTGGGGGCAGGGGGTCAATCCGGAGCTTTTGGTGGATCTTCCCCATTCTCCTTCCAAGGCCAGAAGAGTGACAAGGCCCGGGGTGTGGGGAAACCTAGTACGCAATCACATTAGTAGGACATGGGATTGTTTTTCATTATTTTCATAACCTTTCTTGGGACCACTAAGTGATTTTACTAAAACCCCTTTGTAAACTGCTTCTATGTGGGTTATCGCAATGTCCTTTTGTCCCTTCCTGTGTCCCTAGCTCTTCCTTTAAAGCTGGCTGGGATCCACCCTGGCTTTGAGAGTGACTCAGGGCCCTTTATGCTATGTGGCTGGTGACTTCTGTTTCTTAGGGCAAGGTTGCTTTACTGACCGCCCTCCGAGCTGCCGGCAATCCCTGGGATTGAGAATTGCCCGCGGAAGCGTGGGGTGGCCGGCCTCGCCCGCACAGTGCTCTGGGCTGCTGACACTGGATGTGGGGCAGTCACACTGAGTTTTCTTTTGGGAATGAAAATTGAAACCCAAGGGCATGAATGGAGGGCCGGGAGCCGTCACTCTAGTTTTGTTTGTTTTGTGTTCTCCACACAGCTGTGCTTTCTCTGACCTTCTCTTATTCCCCACAGGCTCTAAGCTGCCCTCTCAGTCCCCGGCCGTGGACACGAGCCCCTGCCCCAGCTCGCCCGTGTTCAGGACGGGCAGCGAGCCCACTCTGAGCCCGGCGGTGGTTCGGAGGGTCTCCTCGGATGCCAGGGCGGGGGAGGCGCTGAGGGGATCGGACAGCCAGCTCTGCCCGAAGCCCCCCCCGAAGCCCTGCAAGGTGCCCTTCCTCAAAGCTCCCTCGTCTCCGCCCGCCTGGCTCAACGCGGAGGCCAACTACTGTGAACTGAACCCAGCCTTTGCCGCGGGCTGTGACCGGGGAGCAAGGCTGCCCTCGTGTGCCCGGGGCGGCCATCCCCAACTGCTGACGGCCAAGCAGAACGGGGCACCAGGCCCCCGGAACTCCGGCATCAACTACTCCATCCTTGATGGCAATGACGAGGCGAGACCATGGGAACCTCCAGCAGCACAGACGGACAAGGAGGACGAGGGCAAGTTCGTGAAGCCCCTCCTGGAGACTGTGTCTTCGTTCAGGCCCAACGACTTTGAGTCAAAGCTCCTTCCTGCTGAGAACAAGCCCCTGGAAACAGCAATGCTGAAACGTGCAAAAGAACTGTTCACCAACAGCGACCCCAAGGCCATTGCCCAGCACATGCTGAGCATGGACTGCAAGGTAAGAGCTCGGGAGGCGGGAAGGGGGTCCTGTCTGGCCTCACTCTGCCTTACCCTTTAAGCTCTTTGCTCATAGGAAAAGTCTGACGATAACGCTGCTGTGGGGATTTATTGAAGGGGTGGGAACCACAGGTCAGGACAACCTTTGCCCAAGCAGGAAGCTTGTAAAACTCACCTTGGACAGAGGGTGGCAGCTGCTGCTGGGGCCACCTCCACCCCCGCTGTGTCAGCAGCTGCTACAGAATCCTCCTCCTCCCCTGGCCTCAACTCCCTGAGAACTGGTAACGCCAAAGCCACGGGAGAGGAGAGCGTAAATGTAAATGCAGTTTCTGGAGCAGCAGAACCTTGGTTATTTTCATTTCATTATGCACTATACATCATACTTACATACATTATATATTTATTTTGTTACTAGAATGGTCCTTAGTACAAAGAAACATTTTTAAAGTTACCTTGATTTTTTTTTTACAGTATTTGCTTAATTTAGAAAAAATATAAAATACAAATTTAAAAAAAAATCACACAAAATCCAGTGTCCTGGTGACCACCATTGTCAACATTTGGTATATGCAAAAACATTACGTTATCATTTGCTCTGCAAATAGATACGTGTAAATAATTACATGTATGTTTGTTATACAGAAATGGCACTAGTCTATACATACTATTCCAAACCCTGAATCTTTCATTGAACAACATATCATGACCGTTTTCTTTTCATGTGACTAAATAAATATGTTTACATCATCATCATGTTTGATAGGAAGCATCTCTTTTAGATACAGGTGGCTTTTGTTCACAGGCGGTCCCCAAACCACCTCATCCTTCAGAGAGATACAATGTCCCTTGGTATCCATGGGGGATTCATTCTGGGACCTCCAGCAGATACCAAAGTCCACGATGCTCAAGTCCCTTATATAAAATGGTGTAGTATTTGCATACAACCTATGCATATCTTCTCATATACTTTAAATCATCTCTGGATTACTTATAATACGTGATACAGTGTAAGCGCTTTGTAAATAGCCGTTACACCATATTGTTTAGGGAATAATGAATGACAAGAAAAGAAGTGTACATGTTCAGTACTGATGCAATTTTTCTGAAATATTTTCAAGCCAAGGTTGGTCGAACCCACAGTTTCTGAACCCACAGATAAGCAGGGCCAACTGTTTCTAGACAACAGGTATCTCAGGCTGGGCCGGACTTAGCTGCCCTCCTCAGCAGAAAGAGGCTGGTACTGGGCGTTCGAATGACGGATTTAAAGCTCTTTTTCATTCATAGCTCGGTGAAATCAGTTAGCTTCAAAGGTTAGGGCTTATTTAGGAACTGGGTTTTCCTTCCTGAGTCATGAATTTGAGGCAAGAAATCCAGTCTCTGAGCACTCCCCCAGGGAGTGCAGAAGTTAATCAAGGGTTCCTCAGAACAGCCCTGAGGAACGTTAGACAGTTGCTGACCATCTTAGGGGTAAACAAGGCCCTTGCTGAAAACAGGGCTTAAGGAATGACTCAGTAGCTAATGTCCCTCACTGCTCAGGCCTGGGGGGAGGGGTGTCCACGTTGGCTGGGCAGGCCCTGAGAGGAGAGCCAGGAAGCAGGTGCACTGGGAGAAAAAGAGTGTGTTTACGATTTGGCTGGAGGTCCTTGGGCAGTGCTTGCAGGTGGCCAGACGATTTGCCCAGTTAAATCTTTACCTTGCTTTAAAGCGAGCTAAACCTGTTTGGGGGGTAAGAGGATTGAGGATTTCTGTTCTAGTAAGTCAGCCACACTGGGCCCTGGATGTGAGAGCAGAACCAGCCCAATAGGCCGGGAGTGAGCTTTTGGCCTGGCATGAATCTGCCTGGGTTCTCCATAGAGGAAGCGCCCAGGAAAAACAGGGGCCTGGGTTTACAGAACAGCCCAGTTCCTAGGGGGAATGAATCCTTCCTATGGCCTTGACCTATTGCTCTAGGAGGAGGAGAGATGCCTGCCACTCTTTGCAGGAGGCCTAGAACCTTCCCACCACCTTTGGTAGCCATGAAACTAAAGCCCGAGTCTGTTCCCAGATGAAGAACGTGCAGTCTGCCCTCCTGCTTGCTGTGGTGCATGTCGACCTCCTGGTGGGGCTTCACTCCCACGTCTGCCTTCAGGCAGCCCTGGGCAAGGGCTGGATGGAGTCCCAGGCCCCCAGGCAGAGCCCGGAGCAGGAGCCAGCCTGGACTCTGCCCACCCAGCCCCAGGGCAGGGCTGTGTTTAGTCTTCCCTCTTTCTTCCCTCACAAGTCTACCAACGTTTCCTTATTCTCTTCCTGGAACCACTGACTTCCAAGTAGGCACAACCAGTGCCTCTAAGAGCAAAATAAAACAAGATCTGTTGTTTCCTGCCCCAAATGCAGGGGCAGCCCAGACAGGGCCACCCAGGAGCTGAGAGCAGGCACTGGGTAGCATCTGGGCCCCACGTGCTGGTTCTCACCCGTGTGGGCAGGCACCTAGGAAGGCCATCAGGACAGCGGGTGGTCCTGAGAGCCCCCCAGGCTGCCTGCCCAGCAGTGTCCAGCCCCCACCCCTCAAAGCCCACTTAGGAGCCACTGACCCCCTCCCACCCTGCAAATGGGCGCTGCACTGGCCTTACTCATGACGTCTGGGGTATGGCCATCCTCCCGCCTACTTGTCTTTGCCCATAGCTAGATGTGGGGCCCAGTAGTGAAGCACTTGGCCCTGCCACATGAGCTGCCCTGCCTCTCCCCCCCCATCTATAAGGAATCTCTGAGGAATTCCGACCACCCAGGTGGTCAGTGAGGACTAAATGAGATAATATATGAAGAGGCCTGGGCACCTTGCCTGGCCCAGAGTGAGTGCTGAGTGTTTACTAGCGTTATGTGTTTGGCCTTGACCGAGTGCCTACCGTGTGCCAGGCCAGCTCATGGTGTCCGGTGGGGGTGGGCAGGGAGGGACAAAGACACAGGAACGGCTAGGAAATGCGCTGCAGGGGAAGGCACAGGAGCTGGAGGGGAGGGTGGAGATGGGGTGGGGATCCTTGATGAATTTGGAAGGCTGTGTGGCCAGATGAAGATGGCAAAAAGCACCTTGCAGGCAGCACAAGGCACAGAGACTCGGATGTCAGAAGCCACAGGGAGTGGGTAGGTTTACAGAGGATTCAGACTGTTTGGGGAAAGGTGGGGTCAGGGTTAGGGTGCAGGAGGGCCTGGTGGGTCTTTCCTCCAGTGTCTAAGTCTCTGCTTCTAGGCAGTTTCCTGCCTCAGAACACTTTACAATCAAACAAGGTGCAGACCTGAGTCCTCTGTGCCGAGGGCAGCAGAACCAGCAAATGCAGCCAGGCGTTCGCACTGCATTTTAGAAGGTCCCTTGGCAGCTGGGAGGAGGGCCGAGCCAGGCCCCACCAGGGCTCCCGTGGGTCACCACAGCACCTTCTGAGGTGGCAGGATGAGGAGGGATAGGCAGAGCCCAGAGAGCCAGCAGAGCTGGGTTAGCTAAGATTTGGACGGCAAAGGTGCTGGAATGCCTCGTCGAGGGGCGCCTGTGCCCCCTGCCCTGCTGGGTCCAGCCCATAGTGAATGCTTTGTAAGCGTCGCCCTTCCTCTGCGTCTGAGCTGCGCAGCCATTTCCCAGGGGGCCTAGTCCACGCCCTGCAGTGTGAGCTCAGAAGCAAGCAGCTGTGGCCCTAGGAAAGTGCCCTAGGGGTGGCATATTTATGCTGGAAGAAAGCAGACTGGAGGCTTCTCAGAGCAGGGGTCACCAAATGCCTGCTAGGTCTCCCGGAATAAAACCGAATCGACGACGAGCCTTTCAGTCTCATTACCCGGAGCGTGCGTGGATTGGCGGGCGCCCCTCGAACGCAGGGCTTGGAGCCTCTGGCAGAGAGCAGCTTCTGCACGAGGGAGGGAGTGGCGGCCACCGGCCGCTGGCTGTGCACCTGGGCTGCCTTGCGTGGCCAAGGTGCGAATCTCTGTCCTGAGATCTCGCCAGAATTCTTCCCCTTCCCGTATGGCTGATGATTCACAACCTGTATTTTCAAATAGCTTTTTGGGCTTTTAAAGTCATTTGAATCCTTTGCAAAGTCCTTGAGAAAGGTAGATTTAACAGTTGTGTTAGGAAGGGGACACTGAGGCCCGGAGGGTGTGAGTGTGAGCTCAGTATGGATCCTGCGTCCTGTTCTGGCAGCTCCCACTGGGCGGCCCGTGCCCCGGGCTCATCCTCTCAGGGTTGACGGTGGTTCCTTTGCTCACCACAGCAGTCAAGGGTTAATAATACAGGCTAAACTTCCGGATGTTCCTTGTGGCCTTTTACGAAGACATCTGCACAGCTCACATGCCTGGGATAATTACGGCTGAGGACGAGTCTGCCAGAGCAAGAACTGTCCCATGCCTGCCACGCGGTCAGGCTTGGCTGGGCCCACCGTACCTGCTGGTCGCACTGCTAGGACGTCATTGTGCTGGGAGGTGTCATCAGCCCATTTTAGAGACACACCGACTCCGTTGTTACGTTTCTACATAATATGTAATAAATAACTATAAATGGTCAACTAATCCCTGATTCCGACAAACTGTGACTAGATACTAAAATTGAGATGAGGTGAGCGCTGGCCTGGGACAAAGGAAGATTTTCTTTAAGGCAGACCTCTCAGGAGAAGTGGGCGCGTTTGAGACCTCAGGTTTCAAATCACTGTACACTTTTTTAATAGTTTCCAGATGTATGGTGCGTTTACTGAGCCCTGGGGAGGCGTGATTAAGGGGACCAGCAGCCAGCCGTGCTGGTCAGTGAGAACATGAATGGCAAAGCCCACAGCAGAGGTAGCCCGGACGAGACTCCGCTTCTCCGCCGTAGGGGATTGGCTGGCTCCGCACACACGCGGCCCTGCTGTTGGCAGCAGAGTGTCACTGCGGGATCCCACCGGTGTCAGGCAAAAGCTCAAAGGACTGAACTGTTCTCTGGCTGGGCAGAAACACTTAACAAATCTGCAGCTTCTGCAGACCAGTTTAGGTGTTCCCGCCCAGTCCTCCTTTCGCCCCTAGGTTTTATATTCTAGTGTGTGTATTCACATGCCCCGGACATCACAGAAGAACCATATTGTCAGCTGCTGCTGCTCCTGGGGAAACGCAACAAGTAAAGCTCATCCACGCTGCCCCGGCTTAGTGCGTTTCCTTTCGCAGGCTGCGTTTGTTGAGGCAAGCCCGCCTCCTGATCTGGTGTGTTTCGCCTTTGGTTCTGCCAGGTTGCCAGGATACTTGAAGTCTCTGAAGAGATGAGGAGGAGCATGGGCGTGAGCTCAGGGCTGGAGCTCATCACCTTGCCTCACGGCCACCAGCTACGTCTGGACATCATCGAAAGGTGAGCGGAGCTGTCCTCTGCGTCTCTGACCCTTCCCACTCCTTGTGGGGTCAGAGCAGCACCAACCCTGCCCAGAGTAGCATCGCCTCAGTGCGCGGCCCAGCCCGTTCTTCCCAGAGCTCCAGAGATTCCTGGAGCTGCACGTGGAGACAGCCCAGCGCAAGTCAGGCACAAAGAACACGTTCCTGTCCCTGCTCCTGGCGGGGGGGCAGATGGAGAGCAGACTTGCCTGAAGCCACTGGCTTGGTTGACCTGTGCGAGGAGAAGTCACAGGTCCTGCCAGCTCGGGGTGGAGCTGGGTGCTGCAGGCAGCCAGGGGACCTGGGATGTCCCCGGGTCTCCTACCCCCATAGCCCCGTCTCAATGAGCTGCGTGCGTTTGTCTCTGGAGTTTACGGTTGCCTGAGGAAGTAAGTGGAAGTTTGTGGGAAAGAACAGAGTCTGAACAATGTTTCTTTGAGGGGTGGACAAACGGGGAGGCAGAGGTCAGGGGATGATGGCACCCGGCCCGCTGCCCTCTTCTCATGAAAAGCCAGGGCCCGGTGTCCACTGGAATGCACAGGAGTGAACGTGGGATGCTTAGAAATTAGAAACAAGAGTGAGGCATGTTCTTAAGAAGAGAAGTGCTAGACTAGATTCTCACATTACCACAAAAACTAGCCTTGTTGATGCATAAAAAAAGTTAATTGGGGCACGACTATCTTGTTATCTTAAATTTTCTGTTTTTTCCAACCGATGTTCCGGTTGCCCTCACTGCCTGCGTGTGGCTTTCCATAGTGTTCTGGGTCACTAGGCTTTGAGCACAGCTTCCTGTGATGACAGAAAGGTCCTCATCTGCACTGGCCATTGCAGTAGCCACCAGCCATGGCTCTTGGGCACCCGAAATGCGGCCAGTGCAATTGAGGGACATTTTTTAGTTAGTATTTACTATTTTAAGTGTAAATAGCCACATGTGGCTAGTGGACAGTGAGGAGGTGGAGTGGCCTGTGCTGGCTTTGTTCAGGCACAGCCACTGTTGAAGGCCTTTGGGAGATTATAGATCCCACTTCTGAATTTCCCTGCTTTTCCCGGGGAGACTTTTCTAGGTTCTAGCCTCGCTCTCTGGGTGTCCCCTTCTCTCCCAGGGGCCTGGCCTTGCAGTTCCACTCGCTTCCCCTGTCCACAGAGGTGAGTTGTGCCGCCACACTTCCCTGTTTCTCACATGAGACGTTTCACCTGAAAACTCCCCGGGTTCCAGGCCTAATGAATCTGAGCCTTATTTCATGACCATCACTAGCTGTGCGGGACGTGCGTCCTGGGCCCAGGTGGGGCAGCAGGTCTGGGGCGTCTCTCTTGGCGATTTTCTCTCTTGTCAACATCCATTTCTTTCTTCTGTCAATTGCCACTTGGCTGGGGTCTCGCGCCTTAGCCTGCTTCTTGTCCAAGGCTGACTTGTGGGATCTACCTACTAGAGTCTGGGAAGTGATTTTATTAATTACAATGTATTTACTAAAATAAAGGCCAAGGTTATAGGGGTCCTGGAGTGTCAAATGACATCGCCTTTTTGCCTTTAAGAATCAAATACAGAATTACCCTTTATTTTTAATGTACCACTTCTCCCATGCCAGGCCTACCAAGCTGGAAGTTTCCTTCCTGTAACATTTGAGCGTCTCCCTTGCCAACCCCTGGAGCTCTTGCTACACACTTGCCATCCCGAGTTGTTCTTCCTACAGTGGTATCCGGGGAGTTTTCAGGCAAATGTTGGCTGAGTGAGTAGATATAACCATTTAGCTAACCACTGATATAACACCAGGTCTTAAAGAAGGGGTAGAGAACCTGCCTTTTATTAAGGGCCAGTAAAACTAAAACACGGGAGGAAAACACTGAATAAACAATTGATTGAATACAGCGTGGGATGTTAGTCTACAAGTAGTTAAAAGAAACATCTAAAATGCTCTACTCAATGTTAGCACTTTGCAAATGAATAACAAAACTGTTTAAAAAATGCAAATAATAAAAATTTACTTTAGGTCTGTGTTTGGATACATTAATTGAGAAAGACAAGAAATCAGAGAAAGGAGATAAATGGAGAAATGGTAAAAGAGATAAAAATAAATGCCTCAAATGGACCAAGACACGGAGAGACGCACACAGAGACGACTGTGGCAACAACTACTATTTAGGGGGTGGCTGCCAGTGCCAGGCACTTCAGTTATTTTTACGCCCATACGTGGTCTGTTTCTCACAGATGAAGAAACTAAGGAGTGGAGCCGTTAAGTAACACTGCAAGTGAACACCGTGCACACGTATGTGAACAAACACACTCAGACACAGAGCTCGTTACTTATTTAACAAACATTAGAGCAATGAGTCACGCTGGGCACTAGCTGAGTCACTGCTGCCCTTTGCTCAAGGGAGCAGGAGAAAGACCAGCACCCCTGGGCACAGGGAGAGCACCGCCACGGAGTCGCAGCCTGAGCTCTGAACATCCAGGACAGCGTGGCCCTGCACTTCCGAAGCTTGTTGTATTTTATTAACCGTAGCTATGAACTGGGGCTTCACCTCCAGCACTTGTACCAGAGCTGGATGAAGTGTAACTGAGGCAATTCCGGTCCATTGCAGTCAACTCCTGGCTCCTGATTTACAGAGGGAAGGAAAGGAGGTCGCAGTCTGTGCTTCCTGCCGCAGTCGACGCCATTTATGTCAGTCCCATTGTCGTGGAGGGAAAAGATCACCCTGCTTCCTGTTCTAGGTCTGAGGTTGACCCATGTAGCTCAGGATGAGAAAAGGGAGGATTGTTGGGGGGAATAAGATTTTGATTTTATTAAGGTCTGACCTTTATAGGCTAATTCTTGCCGGTTATCAGCTGTTCAGTCTTGTCTACATCTCCGTTCCTCTCTGGCCTCTTGACTGGGCTGCACAGCACCATTCTTAGCTCCTCTTTCCTTCCTTTGTTCTGATGCCTGTGTCATCTTCTTGGATCAAACATACCCTCCCATCTTTCTGCCCCTTCTATTCCCAAGTCCAGGGGGCTCACTGGAGGTGGTCCCAGGCTTCCCCGAGGAAGGGATTCCCAGGGTGTGTGCTGGGGGCACCTGCTGTCTCCTTGGACCTCTCATGGTGGGGAGTACAGGGAGCTACATGAACCTCTGAGCATCTTAGCCCCAGGGGGGCCCTCTTCATGCCTCTGCTCATGGTTGAACTTGGCCCTGTCCTGGAGCATCTGTTTTTTGACTGCACAGTGCACCCTCTGTGGCCTGGCCCGGGCCCTGCTGTAGTCAGCTGCTAGGGGTAGTCTCTCTGTTGAGATTGGCCGTCCAAACTGTCTGTGGCCGGCGCATTTCAGAGCAAGCAACAAATGGTGCAAAACAAGTCCTGTTCTGGCCAATTTGGTTTCGTTTTCTTCTAGTCCCATTGGCCGTTGGCCTGACCACTGATCTCCTCCCTCTCAGACACAACACGATGGCCATCGGCATTGCGGTGGACGTCCTGGGCTGCACGGGCACTTTGGAGGACCGCGCGGCCACCCTCAACAGGATCATCCAGGTGGCAGTGGAACTAAAAGACTCCATGGGGGACCTCTATTCTTTCTCAGCTGTCATGAAAGCCCTGGAAATGCCACAGGTAAACTTCCACTTGCTTTGTGCAGCCCTCAGACCTGCGTGTACTCAGTATTCTGCAAAGGGGTCCACACACCATGCTTAGCAAGTCACAGGCTATTTTAGTCAAGTCTCGAAAAGTAAATTGAATCTTAGTGAAAGCTCCTTCGATTAGGGGGAAACCAAAAGCAGGGTCCTAAGTATTTTGGCTCTGCTTTTAAAAAACAGTGGATAATTGCTGACAGTTCATGTTTTCTCTTTGATGTACAATAACAAATGTCGTGCTCAGGAACAATCAGTGTTTCTGGAGAACCAATCAGGGTGAGACATCTGGCTAAAATGAGTGTATAAGAGACACTTCCATCTGGGTTACCAGGAATTGGGCAGTTGGGATAATGACTGGGAAAGTGAGACATTTGGGGAGCTTATCTCAGAGAATCCTTAGAGTAGTTTATCACAAGTACGGTCCTCAGGTCACCTAAAACAGAGTCCTGTTAAAAAATTCCTGGCCCACCTGCCACATAACCCCCTCAGAGTTTCTGAAACTGGGCATTTGAATTTATCTGCTTTGACAGGGGTTTTTCAGGATGAGTGTCAAACCTGAAAACCTGGATTTTCAATCCAGCAGGCCTCACAGAGCAAAGCATCCTGCTATTTTTATTGCTCAGAACCAGCTTTCCAGTTCTGTTCTCCCGCGCCCTAAGTGCTTGGAGGACTCTGAGTACGAGATTACAGTCCTGCAAGCAAAACCTGCAACCAGGAACATCAAAACTGTTGGTCATTTAGCTTCGCTGTTTCATAGCCACACATTGTCTCTGAAATCCTGCCAGGTGCTCAGTGAAAATCCATCACTGCCACTAAGGAAGACAGCTACAGTCACATGTCCTGCAAGTCTAAGTGTGGCAGGAACATACTTTCCTTGTGTTAAAGCAAGATCATCACCTTAAAAACAAGAAGCTGGCCGGGCGCGGTGGCTCACGCCTGTAATCCTAGCACTCTGGGAGGCCGAGGCAGGCGGATTGTTTGAGCTCAGGAGTTCGAGACCAGCCTGAGTAAGAGCGAGACCCCGTCTCTACTAAAAAAAATAAGAAAGAAATTATCTGGACAACTAAAAAAAATATATAGAAAAAATTAGCCGGGCATGGTGGCGCATGCCTGTAGTCCCAGCTACTCGGGAGGCTGAGGCAGGAGGATCGCTTGAGCCCAGGAGTGTGAGGTTGCTGTAAGCTAGGCTGACGCCACAGCACTGTAGCCTGGGCAGCAGAGTGAGACTCTGTCTCAAAAAAAAAAAAAAAAAAAAAACAACAAGAAGCCGAACAACTTGGTGACTTCATCAGGAATTTTTTGGAGATCCATTCTATTTATAATATTTCAAGAGCTTTTAAAATTCTTCAGGTGCACTGGAATTTTGTAGGATCGATATTTGAAAAAAGCAACCCATAAATTCTGCCATACTTTCATGATATGCTGATTTCTATAGCAGGGTTTATAATTTTTCATTCAGGTGTTTTTAACTGCATCACGTTCATTTCCTCTCATCCGGTACTGCCTAGAATTTGGACAGCTGAGCCAACAGGCCAGGCTGTGTAAAGCCCCCAGCCCAGAGCTTCCTCTGAGAGTGATGAAGGGGATGTTCTGTGGGATCACGTGGTCGCTGTCATCTCAGCGGTTAGGGACTCATCTCGAACCCCCACCTTCACGTGCCTTTGTGGGCGGCTCCCTCCTCTAGCAGTGCCAGACCGTTCCCTTCTGGAGTCTCAGCAGGGGGGTAGCGCAGTCCTCCAGGGTAGTCAGGGCCTGGGGTGAGCAGGAGGAGGGGAGTGGCATACCCAGGGAAAACTCCAGAGGACAGTCACAGCACTGTGTCGCCATCCAAACCTGCGCTTATCCCACAGCCACATATGCCGCCTTCTCTTCTCAGCTTCTAGAATCAAGAGACAAGCACCCAGGAGATGAACCTGACCCAGATACAGGGCTTCCTCCAGAAGGGCGGATGCTCCAGGGAGCAGGAGGGAAGAAGGGTTTTCTGAGAAGAGAGGGCAGCATGGGGGTGGCCAGAGGACAACCAGCCACAGCCTTTTCTTCCCAGCAAACCAGCTGGAGCTGACCCTTCTTACCTTCCTCTTGGAATCCCTGGGAGCTCTTAGAAGCCAAGGAAATGAATCTCAGCTCTGTCACTTACCAGCTGGGAAACCTCTGGCAAGTTACATAATCCCTTCTGTTTTCTGATCTGCAAAATGAGGCCAAAATACCTGCCTTATGGGGCTTTGTGAAGATTAAATTAAATTCTTCAAATACTTGACACAAAGTTGGCTCTCATTCCCTAAATACTAGTGCCCTTCCTTGTTTCATGTAGAAAACTTGACACTTAGGCTTACTGGCTTTATGGTGTGAGTGGGGGACCATTTATCTTAGGACAGAGTCAGTGGCATACGCTGGTGTTGACTAAATTATTCCAAAAGGAATGAAAAGAAACTAATAATGGCATCATGTGGTCTAGGCAATCCTTTGTGTGTCTCAGACATTTTGTACAAACATTAAAATGCTTTGCGTCACATTCCTACGTCCTTACGTTGGTACCACCTCTGTGCTGGACAGTTACCAACAACACCTATCAAAATTAAAATATATGTACTCTTTGGCCCAGGAGTTCCACTTCTGGAAATTTATCCTCCAGATATTTTCACACGTTTACATTTGCAAAATCCTTTTCAGGTAATTTTGTAATAGCAGAATATATTTAAAACTCTGATCTATAGACCAGTTAAATTATAGTGTCTCTATATGCAGGAATAATATGCAGAGGTTTAACAGAATAAGGCTGTTCTATATGGAATGATTTCCAAGCAAGGAACTGAAAAATATAGGTTGTATATATGCATGTATTTATTTTTAAAAGGGGTGTGTACACACACACACACACACACACGAAGAGTTGTCACTGGGATGAGCCATGAGAGCAGTACAGAAAGGAGTACGCTGGGGGATTACTTTTTCTCGGTACTCTTTTGCCATGTGCATCTATTATCTGTTCCAAAATTTAAGCAAAATGGTAATTTTTGTTTTGTTTTGTTTTTGTTTTTGGAGAACCTGGCTAGAGCACAGTGGCATCATCATAGCTCACAGCAACCTCAAACTCCTGGGCTCAAGCAATTCTCCTGCCTCAGCCTCCCGAGTAGCTGGGACTATAGGCGCTCGCCACCACACCTGGCTAGTTTTTCTATTTTTAGTAGAGACAGGGTCTCACTCTTGCTCAGGCTGGTCTCAAACTCCTGGCCTCAAGCCATCCTTCAGCCTTAGCCTCCCAAAGTGCTAGGATTACAGGCATGAGCCACGTGCCTGGCTGCAAAAAGGTAATTTAAAAAGTCTTTTCCAAAATGATAAGAATACCTTTCTTTCTTCCTTCCAGATCACAAGGTTAGAAAAAACGTGGACTGCCCTGCGGCACCAGTACACCCAGACCGCCATCCTCTACGAGAAACAGCTGAAGCCCTTCAGCAAACTCCTGCACGAAGGCAGAGGTGAGCACGGCAGGCAGGGCGAGCCCGGAGTGCCCATCGGGGGTGGTAAGTGACTAGGTCCTATCTGGCCCTTTTGTCAAGCATTTAACAGGGCAGATTATGAGGCCCTGAGTTATCTGCGGAACTGCTGATGTCCTCAGGACTTTTGTCACATGACCGCATCGCTTGTAGAAGGTCTACAGTAGCTACAACAAGATGCAGGCTACGAGTAACCATTGTGTGCTTAACTTTGAAAAAAAAATGTTATGGAAAACTTTACTCCTTGTTCTTCAGAGTCTGCATGTGTTCCTCAAAGCAGTGTGTCGGTCCCACTGCTGATGCCCCTTGTGACGTTAATGGAGCGCCAGGCTGTCACTTTTGAAGGAACTGACATGTGGGAAAAAAATGACCAAAGCTGTGAAATCATGCTGAACCATTTGGCAACAGCCCGATTCATGGCGGAGGCTGCGGACAGCTACCGGGTGAATGCCGAGAGGATCCTGGCAGGTGAGGGCTGGGTTTGGGAAGCTGTCTACTCTGTGTGGTAACTGAAATGAAGGCATGAAAGAGAATGGATGGCCTTAATTTAAAAAAGACCAAGGAGGAAAGAATAACGCATAGGAATTCCATTTCGTATATGACTGATCCTTACTTCCTCTAAATTCAAAAATGACTCAAGTGTCCTGTTTCTCCTTAAGTGTTCTGTTGTGTCAATGGTATAGAATAAAATCAGTACCTCCAATTGGTGAGATTAGAAAAGGTGGTGGGCTGAGATCAGGAGGTGGAGTTTTCTCTAGACCTCATCTACCTGCAGTCCTGTTCCTTCCCAGTCACACTGGGAAGTGAGCGCCCTGCTCTTAGCCTCAGGCACATTCGGCACAGTGTTGCGTAAACTGACCTTTCGTGTCAGTACAATGGTAACAGACAGCAGCTGCTTCAGTTAGTTTCACTAACATTTATCACGGAGCCATGCTAACTGGATGTCCTCACGGAGCTCAGAGGCATTTAAACAAGGTTTCAGCACACGGTGGTTAGTGCAGCATGTGCCATGGAAGCACTTAAGGAACTGAATTGGTCAGAGATGCAGGGAAAGAGGAAGCCATGGGGACAACTTCTCAGAAAACACCTCCATTGATTGTTAATGAACAATAGTACTTAGCCAGAAAACAGAGATGGAAATTCCACTCAGAAGGTATGACACAAGCAAAGCCACTGAGAGAGTTTAAGGAAAAGTGGGAACTACAAGTACTTGGGTTTGGATTAGTGTAAATTACGACCTAAGGAACAGCCAACTAGGCTGCAGAGGAAGTGGGAGTGGCTGAGGAAGACCCAGTGAAGAGTTTAACCATGGAAGGGCAGCACAGGGTCAGATTTATGTTTTGAAGTAAACTACCTGGCATCCGAGTGCTGGAAGGCTCGGAAGCTTGTTGGCAGAAAGACCATTTAGGAAGCAAGTGCCAGACAGGGCTTTGCCAATGCAGTCATTAGGGATGACTGGTTTCTCTTACTTACCAGATAATTTAAAAAATTCTTCAAGGGCCCACAATTTGAGCCACAAGGTTAACAACTAGGTGGGGCAGGAGAGGCCTATTCATTTCCTTCTAAAAGCAAATCATTGTTTCAGAACCAGAATGTGGGACTGAATGGCACTGTGTCTGCTGTAGTATATGCACCACATACCTGTTTCATTTTTTCCCTCAAAAAAGGTCTCCAGCATTGGCAATGTGGGACGCAAACAATAAAAACACACAATTCAACAGATATTAGAGTATGCACTTATGCAAAGCCAATGAATATATTACACTGGATGTTGCATAAGCCAATATATAGGATGGGTTTTGAGGAAAGTGTGCCTTACGCTGCTCTACAGCAAATCCCTTTAAAGGTAGCTGATGGAATTTTTCAGTTGATCCTGCCACAAGTTTACATAGCAAGTTCCCACTGCTGAAAGTGACAGTGACTAGTTTCACCAGCACCCAGCCCAGGGCACAGGCTCAAAGCACGTTACCCGAGTGAATGGAAGTCATTAACTGGCCTTTGGTGGTTTATCCATCAAGGATATCTTCCTAATGATGCCCTTCTCAAAGAAGCTCGCCAGCGATGTTTGTTTTTCACTCATTTTTGCTAGGGTGAGGGTGTGTGACTGAGACAAGTGCGCGGTGTGGGAAAGAGGCGCGGACAGAAGTGGTAAATAACAGGCGGGCCATATGCAGACTAAAATAAGTGTCAGATTCTGACTTAACGCCTGCCACCAGATGCAGCTTAATTGTTACTTGCCACTCACGGACAGGGTTTTTTGTTTTTTTTTTTTTTTTGAGACAGAGTCTCACTGTGTTGCCTGGGCTAGAGTGCCGTGGCGTCATCCCAGCTCACAGCAACCTCAAACTCCTGGGCTCAAGCAATCCTACTGCCTCAGCCTCCCAAGTAGCTGGGACTACAGGCATGCGCCACCATGCCTGGCTGATTTTTTCTATATATTTTTAGTTGTCCGATTAATTTCTTTCTATTTTTAGTAGAGACAGAGGTCTCGCTCTTGCTCAGGCTGGTCTCGAACTCCTGAGCTCAAACAATCCGCCCGCCTCGGCCTCCCAGAGTGCTAGGATTACAGGCGTGAGCCACCGCGCCCGGCCTAACAGACAGGGTTTTGATATGAGTCTGCAAGCAACTGATTTATTATGGTCTCTGTGCAGTCAAACCTCTCTAATAATGATGTGTATTTGCAGCTGGTCTTCAGCACTAGCATCACCGCCTCGGCTCCACCTCAGATCATCAGGCATTAGATTCTCATAAAAGGAGCCCGCAATCTAGATCCCTCACATATGCATGTTACAGTAGGGTTCACAGGCCTATGAGAATCTAATGCTGCAGCTGGTCTGACAGGAGGCGGAGCTCAGATGCCGGCGATGGGGAGTGGCTATAAATACAGATGAAGCTTCCCTCTCCTGCCACTCACCTCCTGCTGTGTGGCCCAGTTGGGGACTGCAGGCCTAGAGGCTTCCCCCTTCTCTGATAAGCATCTTTGGACTTAAGCAGACCAGATTTTCTCTTAGATCAGAATAGAGTCAAGAAATAGGCTGTCACATATGGCTGTCAATTGATTTTTGAAAAAGGTGCCAGGTAATTCACAGAATAAAGTATAGTCTTTCAACAAATGGTGCTGCAACTATTGGATAGCCTTATACAAAAAAAAATGAATCTTGATCCTTCTCATGCACACCACACACAATTAATCAGTAATCAAAAAATGGATCATAGACTCAAAATGTAAGAGCTAAGGTATAAAGGTCCTATAAGAAAATACAGGAGAACTTCTTTGTACCCTTGAGTTAGGTAAAGATTAGGACACAAAAAACATGAACCATAACAGAAAACATTGATAAATTAAAATTTTAAACTTTTTGCTCTTCAAAAATATACCATTAAGACACTGAAAAGGCAAGACAGACTAGAAGAAAATATTTGCTAAACATGTGTCTGATCTAAGGACTTATATCTAGAATATATAAGGAACTCTTACAACTCAAGAGGCTAAATAGACAAATTTGAATAGATACATCATAGAAGATACACAAATGGCAACTATATGAAAAGATGTTCAAAGCATCAGTCATTAGGGAAATGTAAATTTAAACCACGATGAGATACCACCACATGCTGACAAACCTAAAGGTTGGCAGCATGTGGTGAAATTGGAATCTTCGTCTATTGCTGGTGTGAATATAAAATGATACAGCCATTTTAGAGTAGAGTTCGATGGTTTCTTTAAAAGCAAACATATACTTACCATATGATCCACTAGTTCTACTCCTAGAGAAATAAAAACATGTCCACAACATTATTCATAGCAGCCAGAAACTGGAAACAATCCAAATGTCCATCAATTGGTGAATGGATAAACAAAATATGGTATGTCCATTAACTGACTACTCAGCAAAAATGAATTATTGATAACATGCAATATATGGAATCATCTCAAAAACATGCTAAGTGAAAAGAAGTCAGACATTTAAAAGTCCATATTGGCTGATTCCATTTATGTCAGATTCCTAGAAAAGGCAAAATAGTAGCAACAGAAAGCAGATCAGTGGTTGGCTGGGGTCTGGGGTAGGAAACGAGGATTGACTGCAAAGAGGTACTAGGGTGAGGGAAGTCTTCAAAAACTGGTCGTGCAACTGTACAAATGTACTATTATAAACTACACAGCTAAAGTAGGTGAATCATGTGGCATGTAAAGTTGTTAAAAACAAATGAAAAAAACAAGGTAACATGAACACTCCTTCCTTCCTACAGCACTGCCACCCAGAATGGCTTGTACACAGGAATTTCACTCTATCGTGTTTTAGTGAGTTCACTTGTTCACGGAAGGTGCTCAGGTCCTTGAGGGTGGGGGTCTGCCCTCCCTCCTATAGAGGAGATCCTGCATTTTTCTTTTGGGGGCAGTTTTTAAAGTTCTGAGAGAAGATGAAGTTCATTTTGGTCTTACTTTAAACAAGCACATTTTTAACACTATGTTTTTAGGCAGAACTGAAGTTAACTTTTTTGGTGGTTTTGTTTTGATTAGGTTTTCAACCAGATGAAGAAATGAGTGAAATCTTCAAGACTGAATTTCAAATGCGATTGCTGTGGGGCAGCAAAGGTGCCCAAGTCAATCAGACAGAGAGATATGAGAAGTTCAACCAGATTTTAACTGCGCTCTCACGTAAACTGGAACCCTCTCCCATAAAGCAGGCAGAGCTTTGACAACTCTCCAGAGAACCTTAGGATATTATTTCAAGCGTCTGGGAAAGCTTTCATGTGATAAAGTAATAACGTGCAAATCTGACAATATACAAGCTTTTAGTATCCACAGGATATTAAACGTGTAAATTGCACAGAGCACACTTATTTATGGATTGTTTAAAATTACTACTGATTTTTAAATGAATGATAATTTATTATTAAGGTAACAGTTGCTAATTTTGATCAGCTAATTTAAGAGAAGACCTAGCTGTGTTGGCTGGTTGCTTTCTATTATGGCATTTGACCATTTTAGTTTTAATTCTATGTCAGATAAGTGTAAATAGAAGAGTTTAAAAGAAAAGCATGAAACATTTCAGAAGGTATCAGTTGTATGATATTCTTTAAATAAATATGAAAAATGTAAATAGTCATGAATGAAAATATATCTTTTTGTGAAACAGTTGTAGCCAGTCTCTTCAATATAAAACTCATTGAAGTACAATAATTCTACCTCGTAGCCTCCTGAGGCACTCTCTTCCCTCGCCACTACTATATCCTGATAGTAAACCAAAAGGAATGAAAGTGGTATGAAAAGTTTTCGAGTTTAGGAGACAGAATGGTGACAGAAGACAGTCGTGGCTCCAGAGGACCCGGGATCCGACTCAAGCTACGGAGCATGCTAGCTGCCGGACTCCGGCCAAGTTCACCTCATCGAGTCCCAGTGCAGCACAGCCACCTGTACAAAACTGAGCACCCACGTGTTAGTTACTACTGTATTTCATGACATCTCTTCATGTATTTCAGATCAATCACCTGTCTTCTAGCTGATAAGTGTAACAACGAGCTTTCTAGGTTTGTTTTCTAGGTTTCCGACTTTCCAAAGAGGATACGTCCTAGTTTATTGATATCCTCCTCAATTTTTTCCTATTATAGAAAATGTGGAATACAAGACTTTAATATTCTATCACCCTGCCACCAACTGTCAAACACTTAACAATTTGTTTATTCTTTTAAATATTAATAATATTGGGACCATGCCAAATTTTATATCCATCTTTCCTCAAACAGGCTGTAAAAATTTCTCCACAATGTTAAATAGGCTTTGAAAAAATACGACTTATTGGTTATAAAAGTCCCACCATAACCTAACCATCACCCTGTTGTTGTCATCTTAAATATGCCTACTAGAACTAAGTATGAGACTCTCACTGTGATCTGTTTAATACAACGGAAATATTAGTTTCAAATCCTGGACTCTGTATTTCCATTAATGTGGCCTAGAATCAGGAGGCCCCTCTCCCATTTTTTAAAGGCACCATCACATTGCTATTTTTCATCTGCTGAGAAGAACAAAAGCACACTTCTACTTCTGGCAATACAGTGGTTCAGATCCTCTTAGAAAGCCCTCTCACTATAACTAAATCCTGAATAAATTTTAATAAACATACCTTTTAATGCACAATCTTGATAGAATGAAAGGAGGGAAATCCTCCCCGCCCCCGCCAAAGGTACAGCAAATTTAAATCAATTCTGTGCAAGAACTTAGAAACCTGGGTAGGCCTAGAGACAAATAATAACATCAGCTCAGTGAATGCAGACTCTGCTGTCTTGGGGGAGCTGCGTGTGAAATGCCTCTATTAAGCAGGAACCCTTAAAGGGTCCCTGAGAACAGGTGGGAAAAAATCTATCTGCCAGAAATGCAGGTTGCCAGGAAACATGCCTGTCTTCACATACAGCACCAGGAAGAAAATAAATGTAATGATGATAGTCTTTGGTGAGGATTTGCAGCCACGAGCCTGTCCTCTTATAGGTCTGGAGTAAAATTTATAAAACCCCAAACCAAGAAATTGATTTACAGCGGTCCCAAGTTGGTCGTTCCTACCAGATACAAAAGCTCATTATTAAGCTACAGTAATTAAACTGTCATTAGAAATTTAATATATAACAATGATACTGCTGATCATGGGAGAAAGGATGACATTAAAATAAATAATTCTTGAACATTTGGTTAAGCAAATGAAAGAGAAAAAAATGGTTCTTTACCTTGTATTGGACACCAAAATAAAATCTAAATGAATTAAGAACCTATGTGCAAAAGGCAAAATTCTAACACTTTTAGAAGAAAAAAACAGAATACCTTTTTTTCTTTGAATCAATTAAGAATTTCTTAAACTACACAGAAAAAGCACTAATTATGAAATGATTAATCTGCATTAAAATGAACAACTTCTATTCATCAAAAACAACATAGAGAAACAAAAAAACATATCAGCAACATGTAAAACTGACAAAGGACTGGTATGGTAGGCAGCTTCCAAGACAGACACCAACGTTCCCTGCCTCCTGCTGCTCACATTCATGTTGTCCCTTCCCACATTGTACTAGGGTTGGTCTGCAACCCAAGAGCACAGGGCAGAAGTATTGGTATGTTACATATGTCATGTGTGAGATTAAGTTATAAGAAGACTGCAGCTTGCACCTTGAGTCCTAGGGGAAGCAAGATGCCACCTTGTGAGCACCCTAATGGAGAGGTCCACATGCCAAGGAACCGAAGCCCCTGGCCAACAGCCAGCAAGGAACTGGGGCTTGCCAGCAACCACTGGAATGATCTTGGAAGTGGACTCTCCAGCCCCAGTCAGAAGCTTGAGATGAATGCAGCCTCATGAGAAACTCCAAACCAGTATCAGCCGGCTATGTTACACAGTAAGAGATAACTACCACAATTAGCATCCCATTCACAAGAATTCCCATGAATTAAAAGGGAAAGACAACCAACCAAAAAAGAAAATGGATGAAGATGAAAACAGGCTTTCCACAAGAAGGAAAAACATACAGTAAACATAAAAAGAGGCTCAACATAATAATTGGGGCAACACAAATTAAGACTACAATGAAATGCTTTTATTATATATCCTTTGAACTGACAAAGATTGAAGTCCAACTCCTAAGTGTTGGCCAGGATATGGAATATGAGTAACCCTTATACAATGCTTGTAGGTGTGTAAAAATATTACAATAATTTTGGGAGGAAAATGTGGCATTATCTTTTAAAATTGAAAATTAATATAACTCATAACCTACCAACTCCACCCCTAGGTATAGACTTTAGAGAAACACTCATTATCAGTAACCATGCACGTGGATGTGCATAAGCAGCATCGTTTTTGCCAGCAAAACTCAGGATAATCCATCAAGAGGATGGATAAATTATATATTTAATGGACTATTACACACAGTAAAATGAACTATACATAGACATGGATAAAGCTTAGAAACATTGAATGAAAAAGCAAACAAAACACAGTGGAATATTCAAAATGTTTGATAAGTGGGATGTTACTAAATATATAAATACATAAATATATAAATCAATGTACAAATGAATAAGTAAAATTCCTTTTATTCTTTCAACTATGTAATAAAAACTTATCAAGTGATAAAAACACAAATCATTCATCAATTACTAATAATTTTCAAATCATTTGTTTAAATAGGTTGGTATAACTTTTGTTAGGTATGGCCTGTCACCAGGTAAATGACGCCCCTATATTCAACACAGGGAACTGCAAACTCTTCCAGTGACCTCCCCCTTTCAATACATAGTTATTAGCTTACTAATGTGCTGTCTGGCACCTGAAGAGAGTGGGCATGCAGTTGATCCCCATCCCATCTCTTAGCCTCATCAGACAACACTGTACCATCTGGGTGCTGGCTACATGCCAAGACCAGTGGCAGGGGCTCCCAGCCACAGAGAAGAGTGGAGAAAGGGAGGAAGAGGAAGTGAGACGGGTGCTGATCTTGGTTTGCCAGAACTGGGAGCAAGCATGTGGTTTTTGTCTGTCTCATTCCACACCCAGACTGTGTCTCCCACACTGGCCAATGAGGAAACCACCACTGACTGGCTGGATGCCAGTTATGATGCAGGACAAAGCAGAAGAGGAAAGAGGAGAAAATAGAAACACTAGACGAGGCTGTTAGGGCTTCTGCTTGCCCTGAGTCAAAGTGGCTTGGTCTGCCTAGGAAGTGAGGGGAAAGGTGGACTTGTGGAGGTGAAGAGGGCAGACTAATGTGATACTCCTGTCTGGAGACCACCCAAGGGAAGGGGGAGAGCATAGCAAGAGTTGTGCTATCACTTGCAGGAGAACATTCTCTTCTGGGTAAAGTCCCTCTCCTCACACCTCTTCAAATACACAAGGCAGACCATTCTCCACCACAGAATAAGTTACCCATAAAAAGCAAAACATGGGGCCAGGTGCAGTGGCTCATCCTCTAATCCCAGCACTTTGGGAGACCACGGTGGGAGGACTGCTTGAGGCCAGGAGTTCAAGATCAGCCTGGGCAACATAGTGAGACTCTGTCTCTACAAAAAAAAACAAAAACAAATTACCTGGGCCTGGTGGTGCACGCCTGTAGTCCCAGCTATTCAGGAGGCTGAGGCAAGAGGATCACTTGAGCCCAAGAGTATGAGGCTGCAGGGAGCTATGATCAAACCACTGCACTTCAGCTTGTGCGACAGAGCAAGACCCTGTCTCTTAAAAAAAAAAAAAAAAAATCGAAAACCATGGACGGGCCCAGGGCCCATGCTCCCTTCCAGTCTCCCCAGCTGCTTCCAGAGACCAGATCCAGCTTTGCCCCTCTTGAGCAGGGCGAGGCATTTCTTTGGGGGAGACAGAATGTGTCTCCCTCCGCTTGACTGCCAGGGCCCTCTCCCACCCAAGAAGTCATGAAACCTAAGGATTCACCAACACCTGAAATAAATAATAGTAAATGTACAGTAAGCCCTTCTTTAAGCTTTGTCCCCAGTGCTCACACCAGATATGCGTTGGTATCAGAGCGTCATGTGTGGTTTCTGAGATAAACCACATGTACTGGAACTTCTATGATTAACTAACTTTTTTTTTTTAAGCTACTTTTCCTAGTTACTACTTACCAACCAGTATGGAAACATTTCAGTACTTAGCATTCACCATGGTTACACATCAGAATGCATTAACTGAATATCAGCCCCACTCATACAAAGCATCTTTACAGACACCATCCTTACAGAGCTCAAAACCAAGGAAGGTAATCAAGTTTAGGAAAAAATACTCATGTGCTAAAACTATAAAGAAAAACAAAACAATAAACCCAAGATTCAAGATAATAGTTACCTCTGGAGGAGGAGATGGTAATTTTCTTTTAGTTGGGTGATATGTTTATTTTATTATGATTGATAACAAACATACACATATTCTCCACAAGACACTCTTCAGGGATGAAATTCCAGATTTACCAAATCAGCTTGCACCAGCCCGTTCTATAACAATGCTGTCACCATCTTACAAAAATGAGAAATCTTATCAAATTGATATTGTGCAGAAAGCAAGACATTAATTATATCTTAGAATTCCCCATCTGTATCAAAATAAAGGAATGCAGCTATTTTGACATGACTTCTTCTTAGGAACCTAAGTGGTCAGCTGCCCATTACATTGTCCCCCAAAAGCTACCAACATCTAGTACTATAAGGGCTGTTGTCAAACGTGCCAGAATTTACTCTCCAAAATAACAATGTTTGCCCATTCCCCATTCTTTTGGCACTTGTTATATTTTCTATAGTTTCCCCAGTTATTGACAGTGACTATACTAAGGAATATATCTGATCATCTGTATACGAGCTCATTGAAATAGGTTCAGTGTTTCTGAAGCATTTTTCACTTAAACAAATACAGGTTGAACATCCAAATCTGAAACTCTGAAACTTTTGAGCCCCAACACAATGCTCAAAGGAAATGCTCGCTGGAGCATTTCAGATTTTGGACTTTCATATTAGGGACATTCAACTGGTAAGGACATAATGCAAATATTCCAAAATCCAAAAAAAACAGAAATCCCAAACACTTCTGTTCCCAAGCATTTCAGATAAGAAATACTCAACCTGTACCTTCTTCAAAAGAAAATCCTTTCCAATAAGCCTGGAGATGCTTTTCCTTTTGTTAATATTGGCATAAGGATGTTATCTTTCCCTAGCAAGTAGGATGTGGCTTCCCTGATTTTAGTTCAGATAGTAGCCCTTTTCATTGTTTTGAACTTCACTTCTCCGCAAACCTCTGCTCATCTGAAGCTGTAACAGTTGACCCTATTTTACTGCAATTTTCATTGTTTTGTGTGTCCCCACTTCCAAGCTTAGCATTCATTTCTAAATTTTCATCTCAACAATTGCAACCTCGTATTGTTCAGCATCTACCCTGAGTTTTATTCCCTTTTTGGATTTCTAAAAATTTGCATAGTTTCACATTTGCCTTTTTAAAAGGGTGAATCTTCTGAAATTAGACTTTCCAAAGTTACAGATAATGTGTCACTAAATATGGCAAATGTTCTTTCCATGCTTTGAAATGCCAGGAAGATGAGGGTGCTCTAACCAATCAGGAATCAAATAGAAGCACAGGAAATGCCGGCCTGAGTGTGGTGGCTAGATCAGGATGTGTGGTACAGGGACGAATGGATGCAGAGGATAAGATGGTGTAAAAGAAAAGTCAATGAAACAGCTACTGTAGACAAAGATAAGTCCAAATTATTACATGCAATTTAAATTCACTCTCAAGAAATGGTTAACATTTTTTTCCTTTAGCAAAGCTTGAGAGAAACCAAAACTAGAATAAAATTTCCAAAAACTGCTTTGCAAAAAAGGTTGCCTCATTTATGAAACTTGTCATCTACTTTGTATTATCTGAAATCTAGCATATTCAAGAAAAAAATCATTACAGTAAGAGATAACACACTATACACCTTAACTGGCCATGAAAAGATTGTTTTATTCCATGAAAATATTCTCAACAGAGAACACTATCTTAAACAAAGCATTTACCATTAGGAAATCAACATGTGCACAAAGAGTAAAAATTACTGAAAAATTAAAGATTTCTTTTGCACAATTCACATGTTCAAAATTTAAGGATGATTTAAGAATGATTTAAACTGTGCAAGTACAAATGTCTTTGCTATTTTAATAACCCATATACAGGTTGCACTATTCCACGTGAAGGAACTTGCCTCCTACGGAAGCAAATCCTGCTTTTAGAAAAACAAACAGTAGCTTGAAAAGAACAGTTAGTCCTTACAAGAAAGCCTTAAACTTTGCCCTCTGTGACTGTTAGCCAAAAAAACATAAGCACTTCAGGCTTTATACAGAAGACAAACACAACCAGATCACATTTCCTCCTCATTGCTAACCTTTAAAATAAAAATAGCACTAGATTTTAAAACTACTTCATGTAGTCTGTCAGTATTGAATAATGTCACATTATATAAATAACCCTGTAATGAGATTCGATATCTAAACTTTATAGTTTACTAGCATCAAAGGTAATATGCTATATCTCAGCTGTGTACAGTGGTGTACTTGATCTTATGAAGGCATTAACTTTTGCACAATTGTCATTCAGCTTTAGTATAACTGGTAGTATGATTCAAATAACACTGGGAAAAATTATTAAAGCAGTCACATAGCTTCTAAAATATTGCTTAAAATCCAATAGTACACAAACCATTTCACGTTCTCTTTCTCCCCTCAAAACAGTAAAGAACCAAATTAATGAAGCTTCAGTGGTACAAATAGCCCCCCACCCCCACCCATCTCCCTATTACAACATCACTAAGAAATTAGTTAAGATTACAAGTCATTAAACAGAATCACAAATGCGAAGCAGGACAACGTGAGCAACGGGGCACTGACAACAATTATATTTACAAGTATAAACATACGGAAATTTCCATTTTACAAGTAAAAGTGCACATAGATCATTACAAAGTTACACTAAATTTTATCAGATTCAAACAAAAGCATCACTTGAAAGACTATCATTGTAATAATCAAATGAGATCGTCATAACCCCAAATAAAAAGACAATGGGGAGAGGTCCACAAAACTTCTCATAAAAACACTGAGTAAAGTAAAATGGACTGGGACATGTCTTTAGTTTGATGCATAAATTTGAAGATGCACCATCGTACATGGTGGAGCTCTAACAGCCACCTACCGAGGCTACATCGGCAGCTGCAACAGTGCAGCAGAGTTAAAGGAGGTCGCACTGAGCTGACACATAAAGCCCTTTGTGGGATACTGTAGTGGTAGTGTTGGCAATCAACAGATTTAGGCACTCTAGTTTAAGGCAGCATTTGAATGGAAGCAGCTGACTTTTGACAATAGTCCTTTGTCTTGAGGTGGTGAGTATCTTCTGTGTTTATTATGCCAAGATTTCAGTGATGACTATAGATTCTTCCCAGACTGAGGTGCTGAAAACGTATCACATTTCAAAGAGTTCTTTCAACTGGGCTGTAGGCTAGAGCAGAGATGTTTTCTTTTTCTCATCATAAATACTTCAGGTTTACAGACTACTTCTTCATAATGCGAAAACTGGAATGTTTGCAGTGGGGAAGTTATAGCAGCATACACAAATACTAGGATGGCAACATTAGTGCTGGAGATGTTTGACAAAGAGATTTGCACTACAAATGTAAAACAAAACAAAGGCTTTGACAAGAACAAGGGATTATAAAGACATGCCTGAAAAATCTAGCCCGATCACTCTAGACATGCAACAGGATGTTAAGCAAGCACGGAGGTGGCACAGGCAGACACTGACAAATGGCAAGGAGCTAACAGACAAGGGGTCCAAAAGACAATTAAAACAGAGCTGGGATAGAGGCAGTCCTGTTGGGACAGTCAAATGTATGACAAATTTTATGATAGCTCTGCATTCTTTACTGATTGGACATCAGGAAAATAAATGGGGAAAAAAGTCAGCCACTGTTGGCTGTTTTCTTTTGTGTGAATAATTGTGAACTAGGAATTTAAGAACTGGCATTACAATGATTTTTTAAAACAATGTATGAAAATGCTAATGAAGTTAGTAAAAAATAATCATGTCTGCATGCACTCATGCAACTTGCTTTTGTCACTCTCTCTTTTGAGCCTGACAACTCTAATACCCTCCCCCAAAAGCAGCTGCATGTAACCTCCTTCAACATCTTGCCCATTTCCTCAGAAACCCTCTTCAGGAACCTGCAGTCCAGGAGGAAAAAGAAAAGAACAATTACTGAAGACCTTTGGTAAGACCAAACGGGGTGTTCAGTTTAAAGTGTCTGTCCAAAATGTCTCTAAAATCTTTTACAGTTACTGAAAACTCCAGAAAATTTTGAAATATGAGCAAAATCTTACTGCTTCCTCACTTTACTTCCCCACACAAATAATTCAGGGTGTCATCACACAACTAGGACCGCACAATCCTTGATTATACAGTGTTTCCAACAAATGCTTATTGAAATTAACTGGAAAAAATGATCTATCCTAGTAACTGGTGATCCAACTAAAATAATGAAATGCTCTAAAATGGTGGTGGTACAGATATCTTCCTCCAACCTAGTTAGTCAAAAAAGTTGTTTCTCTTTTAAAAAAGTAAACTTTCCCTTCCATTCAAGATTTCCTCCACCTTCAAATATATATTTTCCCATATATAACAAGTTATTTTCCTATGTATAGCTGCTAAATGCTAAATAATCATTAAAGTGATATTTCCCAAAAGACATTTTCAAGACGAAAAATAGAAACATAAATTAATTTGGAAGGAAGCTTTTACATTATTGAAAATTGCTGGTAAATCTCAAAATATTTCCAGGTCTCAAAAGAAAACTTTTATTCACCTAAAAGTTAGACCAGGTGATTTATTTTGCAAATCTCTTGATTAGCCTACTACTTAAATAGATTATATGTTAGGTGCTTATTTCCTTCCTTTAGGAAATCAAAGTTAAAATAGGGAAGAAAATGAAAATGATATTATTATTTTACCCAATTATCCAACTATTACTTTCTTCCTAGAAACTGTAGCTATGAATTTAAATTCCTAGATCAAAGCACTCTTTGGGGAGTCAGCTTTCCACAGCATTTCAGAGCAGTTTTACTTATTTGAATTCACTACAGTCACTGTGTTTTCTGAAGGAAAGGAGGCAGAGAAGCATACTATTTATGGATTCCTGCCCAATAAATCAAATTATATTATTTGTAAGGCAGAAAAACACAAATCCTTCACAAAGACTTAAGCAGGACATAAAGCAAAAGGCATCAATTAAGCTTCACACCAACATTAAACAGTAAAGTTCCACAAAAACAGTTCTTGTGGTAATAGTTACATCTCTTAGATTAAGCCTACACAGCTCACATAGTGAACAATAAATCTTAGATGCCCTTTAAGTTTTTTTATTTTTTCCAACCAGTTGAATGTGTTTTCATTTATGTTATCATTCCTGTGTCATACACGGCACAAAGCTGCCTGGTTAGTTTAGATATAAGTTACTGCACCTTTACTGTTTTTCTCTAGAGTTACGTCTATGTACGATGTGGGAACGTAACCTTCTTCACCATTCTGTCTCCGAGCTCTTGTCCATCCATCACCTTTGTCCTCCTCTATAATGTACAGAACTTCACCTTCTTTCATTGCCAGAGTACCTTCATTATGTCCTAGATAAGAGTTTTCATAGCACAAACATAAATTAAGCACAGCAATAATTTTTAATAAAATTTACAAATACAACACACAAAGTAGTAGTAACATATAACCCTACTAGATTTCAACATACCTGGAACCATGAGCCCACTGACTCTCATTAGCAACAACACCTCTATTATGCTTTGTAGTTTACCCAACACTTTCATATTCATCTCTCATTTGAGCTGCACAATAAGCATGTAAAACTGGATTAATATCATCCCCAGGTATTATAACAGATGAAGTAACTGAGCCACAGTGACATTCTGTGATTTGACAGGGTATTCTAACTCCATTTCACTATTCCAACTCCTTTCCCAAATTTGAGTAGTATAGCTAGCTAAAGATTTCATGAGGTATGGATCAGGAAAATAGTAAAAAGACAGTGAGAGGGTAGGAAGAAGGATGGAAAGAATACAGTTGAAGAGAGAGCAGAGAAAAATACAGGTTTGACTATGGAGATGGTAGATGCATAATGGCAGCAAAGCATAACCTTCCTTCAATCCCTCACCAGCCTCAGGACTCCCTTTCTCCCCATCCCCAACCACACTAACAATTTCCCCAGTTGAGTCTTCATTTAACATGTGCTAAATTTCTTCCCTACTTTCTAGATTATATTATAGCAAGATCTCAATTTTTTTCTTTTTTTTAGAGATAAGGTCTCACTATGTTCAGACTGGTCTAGAACCTGGGCTCAAGCAATCCTCCCACCTCAGTTTCCTGAGTAGCTGGGACTACAGGAGTGAACCACTGCACTCAGCTGCAAGATCTTAAATTTAATGTTTTCTCACAATGAGGACTAAAGACTTTACTCAATTTTAAAACCAATACAAACGGGGGAGAAAGACCTTATATCATTTACCATTTTACAACAATTTTTTATAAGCAGTTTACTCTGCTCTTCTTTAGCTGAAGAGAGACTGTTTGGAGTCCAAGAGAAGAAAGGGTCTAACTAAAAATGTGCAGGAGAAGGCCTCAGTGCCACACTCCCCTCACAAAGTCTGTTCTCCAACTTTCACAGGGGAAAAGCTGGCATAGTCAGAAGCTACCACATTCTCTCCCATTATCATCTAAAAAGGTGGTCTACAGAGTCAGGATATGATGATGGCATTCAGCTATGCCTTGTACCTGTCTCTCAATGTTAGTCAGGTGCAAGGAAGAACACAAAGTGACATCTACCAGCCATCCATTTCCTGGGTTGGGATATATGCTCAAGATGCTTCAACTTTGCTGAGTACATGTAAGCATTAGTAAGAACTCTGGGGAAAATTCTGTATTGACCAAAGTTGATAATTAAATAATAATCTCTATTAGGATGCTGATAACATGGGTAATTTTAATTTCACATATGGAAGAAAAATCTCTATATTTGTAATTCAGTTAATACAAAAGTATGCATGCTAATGTACTGTTATAATTTTCTAACAATGTATTATTAAGCTGAGAACACTAAAGTGAGTGACAATGTATTTAGACTTTAAGGAACCAATTTTATCAAATACATATTAAGAAAATCATACCATCAAAAGGGTAGATAGCTTTGCAGTGTCCAATAGCGGGCAAGGGGTCATCATCCTCAAATTCATCATCAAACTCACTGTGGTGACCATGCTGTTGAGGTGGCCCACGGACTTCTTGGTTTGCATCATCAGTGTAACTTCCCTCAGGACTATAAAACATAAAATTATCTCTGATCAAGTATCATAAACATGAGAACTCTATATATTACCTACAGGCTGATCTCTTCAGGATCAATTCGGAAAACTAAATATCAAAGACGTGGTTCCAAATTAAGCCCTATTTTCTTAAATGTTGAGTATACAAATTGCTTCTAATATAAAATGCTTCTTTGCTGAATTTTCTGAAATAAAAAGATTATAATGTTCTATGCACATAGCAGTATTTAGTAAATACATTTCACTATCACTGGGTCTAGAGATAAAATGGAAAAATGTAGTAAACAATTGTCTTTCATCATCACAGATTCATCGCCCCCTGTTGTCAAGAGAACCCTAAAATTCCTTAGGGGACCCACCCAGACCCATGTTCAGTTCACAGGCTTCAGGTGGAGTTGTTTCTATTCTGGATCTGGAGGGGCCATCAGAGCACAGCATTTGTATGGCTGGAGTGAATAGTTCACAAGTAGTCCTGTAACCCAATCAGATATAAGAGACGCAAAGAGATTTTTGCTTGGGACTGTTGGAAGAGAAGCTCACTCCCTTTTCCACTGGACTTGAACTTGGAAGAATACTTGCCTAGAGCTTTGGAAGATCACCATATAGAGCCTTAAAATGAAGCCAACACAGTAGAAGGCACGGCTGTGAGGTGGAAAGAAATTGAGTCCTGAGGATATCATCTGAGCTCCTAGACCAAGCTCTCACTAGAGTAAGCCAATGAAGTCCATTTTTAGTTTAAGCCAGTATAGGTAAAGTATTCATTCTGTCACCAAAAACCAAAAGACTCCTAACTAAAATAAGAAATAAAGTTAATTTCCAATTTAATCATGGTAACAAGAAAGTTAGTAACTTAGAAAATCCAAAAAAGGCATTTGATTTTTCTTAAAAATTTTTTAAATCAAAGAGAAAAAATGTTAATAATTTTGCTGAAGAATCAAATGACTAAGATGTTAATAACGGAAAAATTTGTAAGATTAGATTTAACAGCACTTTCAGTAAGTCTGGAAGCCATGTTCTTAAATAACACATGCCAGAGAAATTAGATCCTTTTAATCTGGGTTTTACCTAGTAACAAAAAAACAGTTATTTGTGGATATCTCTTGACATATTGAAGATATGTACTCTTTCAAGAAGTGATAAGGGAGACAAAGAGGAGAGAAGAGGGAGGAACTAACATTTGTGAAGCACACATACTATTTACCAGGTATTTTACTGCTTGGTGCTTTATGTGCATTATTTCCTTTTTTACTAACAGCCCTGAAGGACAGGTATTTTAACCTCCATTTTATATTTCAGGAAACATTAAAATGCTCAGGGAACATTAAAATAGAACTTCACAAAGTTTTTACTTTGAGTAATATACTATATTTAAGTAGAAAACCAAGATTTGATACTAGACCTCTCAAATTCTTCTCCAAGGTGAATCCTAATTTGTGAACTTTTATTACTGGGGCAGGGTCAGGGGAGATACATTACACCAAGGGAAAAATGCCACAAGTGGTATGGAAACTTAGCAAAATGCCTTTTGGAGGCTCTGGTCCAAACTAACCATCTTTTTTTTCCTTCACAAAACTTTGAGCAATTTGACAGCAAAATTTTTCTTTGGCATAAGCTACCCCAACTCCATCTAAACCCTAAAGGAACCTTCCCCATGCCTGAGTAGTTTATGTCCCCAGACTGCAGCTCCAGGAATTTTCTGTGTTCCTAGCTCTGTTTCCGGATGCACAACAAACTAGAATTGCATAGCGAAATGAAAATTCCTACTTTACCTGCAGACATTGCTAAAGGAACAGAGTTCAAAAGACCGAAGTTATTAAATTTGGGAGGAAGAAAAAGAATTGTATAAAGTTTAGGACAAAAGAGTGAGAAAGGTTTGAGGGAAAAGAAGGAATACAAATAAAATGCAAAAAAATTGACCTTTCTCGTCCCTGTGTTACAAGATGATTTATGTCACTGCTATGTCTTCTGTCTCCTCTCCCACCTGTTTTGCCTTCAACTTCAGAGAGCCAAGCCTTAGGGAAAAAATAAGCAAACAACTGAGCTCAATAAATATGTTTAAAAGCTAATAAGATATTCTACATTTAAAATGTGCTTGAAGTTTTTATAATTCTGTAATTCTTAGAGATTGGAAACTTTTATTCCAATTTGGTCAATGATCAACTTTACAGCTGAATAAAAACTTAAATGTTTAGTTTTATATAAAGGTTTAAATAAAAAACTTTAGTGAGGGATTAAAGATTACATACCGTAATTATAGTTTACTTTTAGATCATAAACCCTAAAATTAAATATAGATATTTGAAGATAATTATAGCAAAAACCAGTCTATCAATATGAAATTTATAAAAATAATTTATCTCAGACAACTGCTGAATAACAAATCTACCTCATTCTTGTGGATTTCCATTCGTAGGCGGTCAATGTTATTCATGGTCTCTGCTAATTTAGGCTGCAAACTCCCTGGATCTCCCATTTGTGGATTTTTCTCATACACATCTTTCATTTTGTTGAGTGCATCTCTGAAAGAGAAGAAAACCACATAATTAAATATTCACTTCATATGCTTCCAGGTAAAAGAGTTTTGACTCTGGGGACTTGCTTAATCTTACATAGAGTCACATCTCTTTATATATAGTCTAACATGACCTGATTAAAGACAATTTGCATAAAGCTGATAACATGTACAGAATTAGTAATTTATTGAGATAATCTTTTAAAACACTTAGAATACCAAAAAGTAACAGATTTCATTTCTCATTTCTTGCTTTCTAAACAAGGTGATATATATATATATATATATATATATATATATATATAGGTTTAATCAAGGGCTGGAAGAATATTCCTCAATATTCTTAAACTCATCATTGTCCCAAATCGAACTCATTATAGCCACCCTATTCCACCAGTGTTCCTTATCAAAGCTCACAAAGCATCATCGTCCTCCCACTCATCTGTGCTAGAAATAGGAATGGCAGCTTTAACTTGCCCTCTCCCTCTAAATTCAGTCATTTGCCAATTCCTTTTAGCCTATCTCCTCTTCTCTAATCATATTACAATAGGTTTGCCTCAATCAGCTCCTCTTGACTCTTAACATCTGACACTATTGACCAACACTCTTTTCCTTCTTGATTTCATGGAGATTACATTTTCTTTTTCCTCCTCCTCATCTCTGCTTTCTCACAATCTCCCTCACTTGCTTCTTTCTCCTTCTTTGTTTAACCTTTACATGCACATTACATAAAATGACAAAAAAGGTTTCTTCTCCTCTAATCCTACACTCCCCTCTTTGAGGATGATCTCCTACTGTTTTATTAATAATATTACCTATCTTCAGATGATTCTCAAATGTGTATCTCTAGCCCTCTTTCTCTCCCAAGTTCTAGATTCATATTTGTAAACCCAACTGGACACTCCCAATATGAATTTTTCACATATTTCAAAAAACACAAACAAAACCATTATTTGCCCCAAATTTTTCTTACGGTTTCAATTAATTCTATAGCTACTCTCCTGAGCTACAAGTCTTTCTCTTTTCGACCTCCTTCATGTTTCTCTTCTCAGGCATCTAATCAGGTGAAAAGTCCAACCTACTCTGGCTTTGAAATGACTGTTATCTATTCCTGCTTTCTAGTCTCATGGCTATGCCTTTATTTAGGCCCTCAGCTTCTCTCACCTGGATTGTTAAAAAGTCCCCTTACCAGTCTCCCTGCCTTCAATCTCCTTCCTATACCATCTAATCTTCATATAGCTTTCAATTACCTTTCTTAAGAATATAGAGTTGATAATGTCACACCTTCTCTCTCAACAACTTTTGGCAACTCTAACACCTACAGAACTCCACAGAAAAGCATTTAATCAAGGGCTGGAAAGCATTCAAGACTTTCCACAATTTATTCTATACCTTTTCATCCTCAACTTTTGTTATTATACTCCACATAATTTTTAATCAAGTCTCCCTGGATTAGAGCTAATACCAGGCCATGGCAAGAACATTCACGTTTCTGTGCCTTTATTCTTGTTTTGGACATGGACAGAGCAGAGAAAAATTTGAGTCGCCAGACACACATTCAAGTTCCCAGCCGAGGTCAAACAAGGTAATACCCTGGGCTTCATGTTTGTGCTCTCATATTCTGAACGACATGTCCTTTTTGTAATCTATTTATTTAGTGCCATGTTTTTCGCATTTTTGTGCTTTTTGTTGATGATCTTGGTGCCCCTAAGCACAGTGCTGAAGTGCTTTCTAGTGTTCCTGAGCATAAGAAGGCTATAATGTTACTTATGGAGAAAACATGTGTTAGATAAGCTTTGTTCAAACGTGAGTTACAGTGCTGTTGGCGGAGTTCAAAGTTGACAAATCAGCAATATAAATTAAATAAGGTGTATTTACACAAAAACATACATAAAACAAGATTATATATTAATCAGTTGATGAAAACATTGTAACCAGTGGCTACTTGGAGCCCAACTCTGTATTTCTCCTATGAGCAACGTTTCAGTACTCAATAATTCAGCGTTCACAGTGAATTTACAGAACACAGCTACTGTTAATAAGAATCAACTGTGTTGCAGTATTTCATTTATGATTAAGCACCACAAGGCACCTCATACACAATTGTTAACATCAAAACTTAAATCTCACATGCTATAATTTTAAGCCCCAATTTTATCTTCAGTATAGATTAAGTCACCAATCCATTATAATAACTCTTTATTCATCATAAATAACTCTTCTGTGTCTATTTTATAAAAATTGATCTAAAGGAAACTTTTGGTAAACATTTTTAAAAAATTAAAGCTATGCACAAACAAATATGAAGTTGTAAGTAATTATGCATTGTTTGACAACATGTTTTACTGCAAACAAAGTAATTACAGCCTCAGGTTTCTATTGAACTCAATTTATGTATAAATGCGAAATGAAAATGTGTTTAGAGGTGTTTAATGTTAGTGAAACTACTCTTTTTTTAATTTTAATTTTTAGTAGTCAGGGTCTCCCTATGTTGCCCAGGCTGGTCTCAAACTCCTGGCCTCAAGCAATCCTCCCACCTCAGCCTCCCAAGTGCTGGGATTACAGGCAAAAGCCACGACATCCAGCCAGAAACTACACTTGATAATGAATCATCAAGCTATTTTTTAAATTTATGGTAGGCATAAACATATTCTAAAAATCTATAACCAAAGAAATTCTAATATTTCATTTTTATTTATGACACAGCAACCATAAAATTTTCGAGTTTAAGAGTATATTTTTCTCTCAAAAGGTATTTCAATTAGCATACATGATTTTTAAACCTTCTGTACATCACATTTAAATGTACCATTCAAAGTAAATGCCGAAAGAAATAATAATGATACGGAAGATTTAAAAGAAAAATACTTTTGGTCCGATTCCTTTTGTAGTTCTCTGTTAAGTTCATCAATGCGCTGCTGTAGTTTTTTACGTCTCTGTTCTGGTGGCAGATGACTGAAATCTTCTAGTGCTGGGCCCTGAAAAGAGAATCTAAATTATTACAGAAGACATTTTTAGGAAATTTTATTTTTAAAATGTACCTGCCATAAAATAAGAATATATACCAAAGTTTAATTTCAAATCTGCCTCAAGCAACCCTTTAAAAAAAAAAATAGAAATCTACATAGGTGTGTGTTTTTATGTGTATATATTAATGAAAACAACTGTATTGAAAGAGCTCAAATTTCAGTCATTGTATAAAACCATGAAACAGAACAGATAAAAATATCATCAGATATAGATAATTGGTAATGACCAGTATCACATTATTTCCAATTCTTGGCAGAATAAAAATGAATACATATAAACCTTCTTACAGCAACAACAACAAAATGGAAACACGTAACATTTCTTATCTATACAAGTTATTATTTTATATATAACATAATACCACATTGCCAAATCAAACCTATTGCCATGATATTCAGAATGTTACAAATGCTCAAACTAAAAATATGAACATAATTGAGTTAAAAAGGCAACTTACCTTATATAATCTAATTAATGAAATATACTTTATATGTTCTATATATACAGTCTTTGAATGATTACATTTATTAAACCATTCCTCAGAATCAAAACATACCTGATTATTAAAAAACAAAAGATAGAATATTCTAACAAGCATATTTTCAATTGAAATTTTACCTGTTCTGTAAATCACAAGTATAATTTCAATTTCTTTTGTAAAACCAAATAACATACCTCTGTTGTTCCTGAAAGAAAGATGCAATCTTTCTTTAAAACAGATGCTTGATGTTTGAAACTTTTTTAATGCTTTGATAATCAAGAAACTATGCAATTTAAGAAAAAGTGCTAGTATTTAGATACAAATTTCTGATGGAAATGACATCTTTTTCCTCTTAAATGTCAACCACTGTTACTTTAGCTATGTTATTAGCAATTACAACAGAACCAGTATTAGCAGCTATTGAATCCATTTAGTATAAACCTACATTTACTTGTCTTTATTTACTCTAAAAATTGAAGATGCCTATCACTATTCCTTTTTCTTTTCAAAATGGTTATTTTAAGAACCTGAATATGACTCAATTTTTAAAGTGATGGTAAAATGAACACTCCAAACAATGCATTCTTGCTCTTTAGGCCAGTTATGCCTATAACATATGCTAAATAGCTTTATTTCACTATCTATAAGAACGCTTCAATTACTTAAAAAAGAGAAAACTCACTTTTAGGATGAGCCATAATCAAATGTAATATTTAATTAATAACAGAATGCCCAGAATCTTTCCCCAGTGGCCTACACATTATGGACATTCAACAAGCCCGCCTACAAAAGGCAGGGCATCCTAAGTGGCTTTTGTTTTTTCATCTACGAGTCACCAGAAATAAGAAGGCCAATTGACCAAATCTGACCTAAATAAATGAATGGCAAAATTTTCTATATGAAGTTCCTTTAATTTTATTGGCTAATTCTCAACATAAATTTTCAGATTTAATCTAATCTGGAGTACAGGTTTTGAAAACTATTACATATATGCCAAAGGTAAATTTTCTATCTGTATGTTTTAAAATATTTCTAAAAATCTTGAAAAATTACTTAATGAAGAAATACATTTCAATGTAGTGTGGGTTTTTTGTTAAAATTATAACTCACAATTACCCAAAAGTGAATGTGCCAGAGTTCGACTTATCCCTGATCAAAACTTGTTCTCAAATTTATTAACAATACACACCTAGGCACTTACAATTCTAATACCCCATTTGACAGTAGAACCTATTCTTAGAATAAGAGAACTAAACTCACTCTATTTCCTATAAAGAAGTCCTCTGAGGCATTTAACAACCTCTTTTACTGCAAAGGAATTTATAAAAGGCTGAGTGCAACGATCTAAAAAAGTGGTCTATTTTCCAAAAGCTATTTTGTATAGCTTCTTATATAATAATTTCTGCATAGTTCTTTATAACGTAGCTCCATTAATTTGTTTCAAATAAATGAACAAAGGAACAATCCAAACACACACACGCACACATGCACACACACTATTTAGATCATTTGTGCTTCTATTCCCCTTTAATAGTACAGAAGAACAGAGCACTGATTCCATAATGATACTAACAGGAAATTTTTCTTGGAAAAATTTAATGATTCTTGCGATAAACTACAAATCAAATTTACATGATCTTTTAAAGGGTGTTAAAAATAATTTTTGCTAAATTTTCTTCTGCATAAAACATGAACTTTTGCTCTACCATGTAACTTGAAAAATAATGTTTAACCGTAATTTCATATTCCTCTATAACATGACAAGGACTCCATCCAAGAACATTTAAGAACTTAATGGGTTGATGACAGTTAACCACATTACTTCTAATCTCATAACATAGAGAAGTACTAGTATATGCTGGACTATGTATTAAATTATAAAAAAAAAAACACACACACACGGTGAAAATGTGGGATGTACTTTACTACTTGTTTTGAATTAAACAAAACAATGTTTTGAGATTACTTAATGTTGGCACAGTATATAGATCAGCACATAAGGCTTACCATCTTCACCGACCACTGAATAGTTCAATGGAAAACAGAAAGAAATGGTAAATTATTCACATGAAACCATAATACAGAAGATGCAATAACCTATACGATTTTACAATATTAAAAGAAATCATGTACATTTCACAACCCAAACAATTATGCCAAAAAAAAACCAATTTTAAGCACATTTTAGGAAAGTAAACTACTTGCCAAAAAAGCATACACTGATGATAATGGGCAGATATTTTCTAAAATTAACTAAAACTCAAAAGTAAATAGTAATCATTCTATCAGTAATCATGCATTTTCCTTTAAAGAGAATTTTTACGTAAGTGAATTTTACTTATATAGTTCTTCATTCTCAAATCACTAATATTTGAAAAGCTGAATACAGAAGATCTAATATTAGCCATTTAAAAACAAATCTTATAAGAAATATCAAAATATAGGATGCTCCTCCCAATGCATTAAAGAAAACACAATTATCTGAATTTTTATAGTCCAAAATACTGTTTTGAATTTAAATTTATCAAGTTAGGTGAGGGTAACATTTTTACTTTAGTTTTTTATTTATGTACAGATACATTAAAAACACATTATCAAAATAATGAGTTACCCAGATCCAGGTGTCCCACACGTATTTCCTACATAAATACCATATATACATGCATGCATACATACATACACACACACACACACTCATCTATCCTACATTCTGTGGGTTAGTAGGATTCTGCAACTGGCATGGCATCTATCTAGCATCCCAACTAAACATACACACACACACACACACACACACACACACAGAGCAAGACCCAGAATATGTAACAACAGAGCTTTACAAAATTAATCTTCACATTGATTGCAACTAGTTAGCTGCCTCTAAAATTTTTATTTTTCCATGTTTTCTAAATCATGAGGTTTTGAGAAAAGGTGGGGAGATATTAGGTAGAATTTCACATAAAAATATGAATAAATTTTAACAAATATCTGATAAAAATATCTACCCCTTATCTCTTTATGAGTTGGTCATATATATTAAATGGTTATGACAAGGAAAGATGACATTTGCTATGCATTATCTTTCTAAATTAAGCTTAACATTCTTTAGACTATCAGTAGTTTCGAAAAACAAAAGCTATAATTTATTCTTGGTGAGGAAATAACAAGGTTTAAATGAAAGAAAGATAATCTGGTCTTCTTTAAATGTTATTAAACAAAATTATATACAGGACAAGAAATAAAATATTTATTTAAAATATTTGAATTTGACTTATCTTTTACAATAATTTTCACCAGCTAAATTTCTAAGTGATGCAAATTATTTTCTAATTTCTATATTAGTATCTTTTAGAGAAAAAATTAAGATAATTATAACCAAAATATCAAATGTTTCAGTTTTTAGTTAACCTAGTTTTACTAAATTATCAGTTAGAAAATAAATTTACAGTTCGTTAACCTTAGATTTCAGGATATATATAAAACTTAAGTTCTTTATAAAAATATTAGAAATATATTGTGTACTTTTGAAAGTATTACATGTTCACAACAAAAATACCTTACTCTCACATATAATTATCATATATCTATAAACTAGAAAATGTCACATACCCACTATACCTAATAAATGTAAAGGAGAGCTAAAAAGAAAATCAGTTAGGCAATTAAAATTACTAGTGTATTTCATTTTATGATAGGCCAAAATCCTGTGAGAACTGTACTCTGGAGAGATGAAAGCTTAGAAGAATGACTCTGGAAGTCTATAAAGTCATGAATAATTTATAATAGATAAATCTATTAGTTAAAAAAGGAATATCCAATAAAGCTCAAATGAAGTAGTTACAGAGTAAAAATTATTAGTTTGTATATTAAATAGTTTAGTTTGGGTGTATCCCCAAATACCCATTAACAATTTGAACTTGATGTCACATAAGGAAATTATAGACCTTTGTCTCTCAGAAAAGGTCCACTGGTACTACTGTCAAACTCAAAAACATTGGTCTAATACATTTCTCCTATCCTTAACGATACTGGGATCTGTATAAACCAGTTTTTCTTAAAAAAAGAAAGAAAGAAATCATACTTTTTTTAGAAAAGGTATGTAGGAAAAGCAATGTCCAACAAGTGTAGCTCAAAAGAAGAATTTCTGAGTTGAATGGCACTACTCATCAGCTTTATTTTGTAAGCTTAATGGACTGAAAAACTCATGTAAACCCATGTAAAAACATATAAACTGGTTTATTAAAGCTTACCTTCTTTTTGAATTTTTCTATATAGAAAAAATTCTTAAGTGAAAGGAAAACATCTAAGTAGGTTAATTCTGAAATATTATCTAGTAAACTATCAAATGCCAATCATAACAGAAAGAAACTTCTCAACCCCAAGGCTGTAATACACTTTCCTCCTATTCCATCCTCCAAACCCATTGGTTTGTCTGTCTTACTTTCTATCTTGCACATTGCCATATTCTTTTGAGTGGTAACTAATACTAAAACTGAGAGGGGATTTCTGCCTTCTAAAATTAGGTCCATGTAAAAATAACATATGAATATTTAAAATTAAACCTATTTGTGAAAAACAAATGATGACCAAATAGTTTTAAGTTTTACAGTTGTAAAGTTCTAACCATAAATTTATTCAATAGGAATGAAGATGTCACATATTTTAAGCTTCTCTCTCTCCAGGGCTCACAGTTCTAACTGCCTATTTTTATACTTTTTTCATATCTCTATGACTATATTGTGTAGAGTACTTTAACTGGGCCTGGTAGACTCAATATGTCGAATATACAAACAATTGCAAAAACATGGCTACTAACCAGTAATTTCTCATGATTTACACAATGACAAGATATTAATATTTAATGTAGTCTAAATCACCACAGGGAAGCAACATTAGAATTAATTCCACCCTCATAACTCAGGCAATAGAAATCCCAAATACGATTTCTTAAAGTCTTTCAAATAAGTGTTAAGAGCTTTAAAAAGTGATTACAGGCATGCCTGTAGGTATAATAGACCCATCCACAGGGACTTTTCAAACTGTCATTAATCACCCATACTATCTGCAAACGGAATTAGGTAAGATAGATGCAAAGTTCACATCATTAGAGGAAAAAAGATCAAAAAAAGTCACAACACACTAGAACATTTCTGCTTCATTACTGACATCAATTAAGTTTGTCAGATTATTTTAATGGAAATGTAGATAATAATGTGATCTTGCCCTAAACTAATATCTCTTGTTCTACAGGAAGCCAAAATGAAATTTGAAAAAACAGAAAGGACTACAGAAAGAAAAACAGAGAGGGAAGGAAAAAGAAAATACAAATAAAAGAGAAGGAAAGAAAAGGAAAAGAGGAAAGGAGCATTATTTAGCATTATTACTGTTAATTAAACTTCTTAAGACACTGATAGACTGATTTCTCAACTATGAGTTAGCGCACATAAATTTTTCAAACGTTCAAATGAATTTTATAAATGAATCTAATAGCCTATGAATATTAAAAAGCACATCCTCAGCCAGTTACAGTGGCTCACACCTGTAATCTGAAAACTTTAGGAGGCTGAGGCAGGAGGATTAATTGAGGCCAGGAGTTCTAGATCAGCCTGAGCAACACAGCAAGACCCTGTCTCTAAAAAAAAATTTTTTTTTAAATTAGCCAGCATGGTGGTGCACACCTGTAGTTCCAGCTATTCGGGAAATTGAGGCAGGAAGATCACTTGAGCCCAGGAGTCCAAGGCTACAGTGAACTATGATCTCATCACTGCGCTACAGCCTGGGCAACACAGAAAGACTCTGTTTCTTCTTTAAAAAAAAAATCCTTAAAATCAAACAGAACCTTACATAATGGAATAACACTAATTTATTTATCAGTAGTATAATAGTTGTTGCTTAGAAAGTTTAATATTTCCTTTTTACTATTCTATAAATTTTCATTTGCAGAGTATTCTTAGGAACAAGTAAATGCCAAAGGCTAGCCAATTTAAAAAAAAAAAAAAAAGAGGGAAAATTCTGGTAAAATAAAACTTCTCTTTAGTTCAAGAAAACAAATTCCATGTAAATATTACTCAGTAATATCTAGTATTTTTATATGCTTTACAACTTACAAAATACCTTCTAATATATTATCCTTAATTTGATCTACAATCTTGATATTTAACATGACTATTTAATTTTTTTAACTGTTAGAAATTGTGCTTTACCCTTCTAAAAGTTAAATAGGGCAATTAAAATTGAGCTTGACATTTTATTGTCAATAAAATACTTTATAAAATTGGCAAGTGAAGTCAGCATTAGTGACAAATTATTACAAGAGTAACTCCAGTGACAAATTACTGAAAGTCTTAAAAATGTAAATACAAGACAATGGTGAACACATGGTTTCACATAAACAAAAAAATTGCTAAAATATGATTGTACCCAGCACCCTCTTTATAATACCATTCTTTTATGGTTGAGCATTTCAAATGTTATAAAGAGGAGTTATTTTTAACTTGAGGGCAGCTATACTTAATTCTGTGGTGTTTTTAAACTATGTATTTATAGGAGAGAGCCTTATAATGAGGGTGGAGAGTATTAAAAGCCACACTACACACACAATAGGCCATCATGCATTTTAACCCATTATTAAACTTACCCCTCTTTTGAGGCTTCTGAAAGAAGGAATTCTGGGCTTCCCTGTTTTTATTTCATTCATACAATAATGCACGGGCTCAATGGAGAATGTGAGAAACTGGGACCCATTAGGAGTACTGGATGTGAATAAACTAGTAGGGGTTAAGGGTGGGGACTGTGGCTAATATGGAAATAAAGAAAGGAATCAATAAGCCAAATGTGCATAGTCTTTTCCTAAATGAAAATTCTATTTTTGGCAACATACTTTTCACAAAATATACCTCAAATAAAGTTTTCTATAAAAATAAGAAATTAAACATAGTTTTGCCAAAAACTATCATTATTTAAATCAAATTTACTTTTTAAAATGTACCATTTCACTTAATCACTTTTTACAAGCTGATAGATTAAAAATATAGAGTACACAAATTATAGAGAAAGCAATAAGATATAGATAAAAAAATTATTTTGCTTTCTAGAATATTAGCATCACCATGGATTCCTAGTTATACTTAACATGTACTTTTCAAGAGATAAAGGCAGCAGCAATAGCTAAAGTTATCTAAACAGGTAATGTCACATATAAAATATTAAAATTATAATTGATTATTAACAGAGATAGGCAAAAAATTTTCAGTATATTCATGGTTTTCCTCTCAGACTGTTGGTATTCCATCCTATTTCACCTCTTTTTAAAAAAATTTCAGTATTCCTTGCATTCCTAAGCTCCTCTAGCTACTCTGATATGACTAAAAAAGGTCTGACCTCTCAATTTCTTGACTGGACAATATTATTAAAAGCATGAATAAAGTGTGAGTTAATTATAATTGTGTTTTTAAAGACACTTATAGGTAAACTATAATTTCAGTTGAATTTTAATTTTATCCACAGTCATATGCCAAGATCAAAAAACAATAATCAAGTATACTTTAATAAATATAGCACAGATTAAAAGTGTCTATTTTCCTTACTGATATGACACTAGTATAATCACTTAATTGATAAGAAAGACAAAGCACTCATCTATTCCATCTGCTCACCTGCTAAGCTAGATTTATCTACCTAAAATAAACAGCACATCAAAAGGTGAGTTCTAACAAGAGTTGAGATTCTCTTAGCAAACTAGACATTTTTAAAATTCCAAATAACCAAAAACATCGAGTCATTCCCACTAAAAACTCATATGAATGATAAAAATAATTTCAGTAGTATGATCTCTAAGACCTAATTTGACATTTATTATTACTATGTCAATGATTCATTCCAATTGACAACTGCAATTTTAGTGGTCTTTTAGTTAGATCATGTCCCTTTAGAAATTCTGATGGAAACTGAATACAAAATAGATTTTCAAAAGCAAATATTTAACTAGAGAGTAACAACTGAGTTAATATTCTTAGTCATTATTAAGCAGTGGTCAAATGTTAAATCCAGAAATAATTTTTACTATTAAAGTATAAAACTCTGTTTCCTAAGTGAAAGGTTATTGGAATCATTAAAACTGAAAATATTTATCCTCCATTAATAGTAAATCATTATCCATTCAATACTTATATTGATTTAATTGATACACTAAAAAAAACTGATTAGCATATAGGAATTTTATGACGTTTACCTTTGGCTTCTTTCCAAAGAGCCACAATTTGCCCTTGGCCTTTCCTACTGTGGTTTTGGCATCCACTTTCCCACTCTCCTGTTTGGATGCGCTGATAGTCCCATCAGAAATGGTTCTATATATGTGCTGACTATAATCTTCAAATGGAAAGTCTCCTGGAGGTTCAAAACCAGACTTGAAGGAGTCTACCACCATTTGAGAGTCCTATACACAAGAAACATAAGTTTTTAAAACCGTATCATTTGCTCATAATGCATTAGCTTTCAAAACTTTAATCAATACAAGAAAACAACAAATAAAAGTTTAAAGAAATAATTCTACAGTAATCATTAAAGGTTTAAAATGAATAATTTCTTCCTGTGAATGTGTAATAAACCCTAAATATTTTAATCCCAATTGAGAAATACAGTAACTTAAAAATTACCACTTAATTTATAATATTCATGAAATGTTTTTGCTCAGTGATTCAACCCCCTGAAATTCACGTGAAGACCAGTTATAGCTGATGAGAAAAATCTAACTGACAAAAGGAATACAGAAAGAGGTTATTAACAAGCAGAAATTCTGAGAAGTTTCAAAGGTAAAATGTTTTTTGCTTTAAGGGATGTCTACAAAGAAGCTGATCTGCAGACTGAGGAAAGAGCTTCTAATCATAAAAGAGAGTAAGAGATGGAGTAGAAGGGCTTTCATTCATCCAAAAGGGGAAAATATAAAAAAAATATTAAATACATACTGTAGAATGTTAACAGAGCAACAGTGGAAGATCTCATAAATAGTACTAAGTGCAAAAATCAAGTTTGTAAATGTAAAGTTTAATATGATTTACCTATAACTTAAAAACTCAAATATTATATATTGCTTTTAGACATACATACCTCTATCTAAATGTTTTAGTGATGTCTTAACCTCATCATTTTCAAACAGAATACTTTATTCCCACAAACTCCTCCCCACCCCTAAGTACCTCTCCTCTTGTTCCCCATTTCTGTTAATAGTATATATTTTGCCCATCATTTAATCAAGTCATCCTTAAGTCATACTTATTTTTGTCACTAATGCTACCCTCAGCAATCATTTGCTAAAAGGTAAGAAGAATGAGAAAAGAGGAGGAACCCAACTATATTGTATAACCTTGGATATAGTCATACTGAAATATTATATTTTAGTAGATAAATCTAGCTTAGCAGGTGAGCACTTTGGAAGTCCCAGTTAAAGAAGCCAAAAATCCTCTTTTCTTTTCTAAATTTAAGTAAGGATTCTATTAGCTACTGGAAGGATCCTCACTAATATAATATCTGTTTAATAGGCTTGCTGTGAAGACTAAAATATGTGGTACATATTTGACACTCCCCAGATGCTCTTTTCTCTTGCTCTTCAATCATATCCTCAGTTTCTGCCAAGCACACTTTTTGATCACTTAATCAACATTTACTGAGAAATGACCAGATACACGACTCTGCTACACCTTAATCAAGGTACAATGTGATTAGATATATTAGTATTTCCTCAAGGGAAGGAGGACTATGCTGTTTTCTCTACTCATAATGCCCTCCTTCTTCCTCATTATCATTCCATACACTACTCATGTTTCTTGATCCAGCTCAAGTGCCAACTCTTATGTTAAAGGCAACTCTGACAATTCTAGATCTGTCTGTTCCTCTCTAACTTTCTAAGACCAATAGTACAACACATTTTGTAACATCTAATTCATAGGTTCTTTATACTCTTGGGTTGGAACTGAAAAATTAGTGGGAGACAGCGAAAGCTAGAAATCTTTCTTTTTTTTTTTTTAAAGAATCAGAATTTTAGCATTTAGAATGGTTGCTTAGAGCCCAAAGGAGTCTAACAATATTGCAAGACTTTCTTCTACAGAATTTAGAACCAACTAAACGTCAGATTACTTTACCCCTTTTCCAGCTAATTTCACTAACTTAAACTGCACAGCTAAACCACAAAGATTTATTCGAAGATAATTATATAGCACTTACTCGTCTTTCATCAACTGATTTTGCTGCAAGAATCATTCCTTCCAAACACTTTGAAATGATAGGAATAACTTTGCGTTCTGAGTCTGCAAAGCCTCTGTAACACTCACTGAGTTTAATAGTCCTTCGCTCATCCATTTCTTGCAGTTGCTAATAATCAGAAATTTAAAAAAAAAAAAGGAAAATTGAATTTTCCGATTATTCTAAAGGAATTAGTGATCCCCCAAAATTAAAGATTTCTACCCTAAGAGTTACAGTGTTGTTAATACCTTTTAACAAGTGCTATTGATTCACAATACTTAGAAACCAAGGCTTGCTAAACAGCAAAAGGAAAAAAAAAAAAAAAAATCAAGCCCTTTAGTACCATCCTAAAACCAGATGACACTGGTGTTCTAACCTTCTAAAAGGACCCTTGGCCAGAAGCTGTGGCTCATGCCTGTAATCCCAACACTTCGGGAGGCCAAGGTGGGAGGACTTCTTGAGGCCAGGAGTATGAGATCATCCCGGGCAACAATGTGAGACCCCACCCTAACCTCCGCAACTCTACAAAAGATAAAAAATAAGCCGGGCATGGTGGTGCCCGCCTGTAGTCCTGGCAACTCAGGAGGCTGAAGCCAGCCCAGGAGTTCCAGGTTACAGTGAGCTATGATCATGTGAGTAGACTCCAACCTGAGCAAGAGAACATGACCCTATCTCAAAAAATAAATAAATAAACAAATAAACGAAATAAATAAAATAAAAAAATAAAATGACCCTTACTGATTACCAGCTCCTTGTCCCATAATACCTTTTACTCTTCAGCCTAAGTGGTTCTTATTTATGTTTCCAGAAAAAGTTTCATTTTAAGACAAAATTCTGCCACCAATTTTTTTTTTTAAGCAATTGGCCTCTAATGTATGCAAGTCTGAGATTTCTAACCCCTTAAGTTAGTTCAAAATACTTTAGTAAGACCTGACTAAAGCAAGAATCCACAGTTGACTGCATACCAAAAGGTATCCAGACCTCCTAGACTACAGCTCAGAGTTAGGGACACAAAAGGAAAAAGAAAAAGCCACAGGGTCAAAGCAGCACATATATAGAATCCTCACAATTCAGAATTCACTGGCACATGCTACCAGGAAATATGCTGGAACACATGAAGTCCAATAACTTAAAGGCATTTTTGACACTTCCTATTTGCCAACATTGATCTTTCTCTTTCCTAGGAAGCAGCCACACAGCTCAAGTCCCCAAACTCCCACAGCTTTATACCACTTTTCCTCTTTAATTCCTTCCCAAAGCAGGAGAGTTTATTTTAAGACCTGCATTTTCACAAAAGAATTGCTACTGGCATCACAAAACGGCAAGACTCCTCCATAGAAAGGTCCAACCACAGGATCAGGCCCCAAAACACAAAAGGTAGCTGATCTCCAAGTTAAGGGCTCCCCAGAATATGAAGACACAGCTAGTGAGCTAGAAATACACCACAGAATAAGGACTGGCAGGTTTGATTCTCTGGATTAAATGACCAGAATCTAATACCAACTCTAGTCCACCAGCTCTCAATACAATTGCTTTGTACCTCTAACTTGCCTTACAAAGAAAAAAAAAGTATACTTGGACTGACATTCTCTCCACGTAAGCTCTGCTCTCTGAGACACTATTTCATTCAATACTGTTTTACTTAATCCCTTTTCTCTAATTTCCCTTCTTTCTAAAAAAAAAAAAAAGGCAGTAACATCATTTAATACTCATGTAAATTCTGCAGTCTTTACCTGAGGCTGTTTGGCAACTGTTATCATCAAGTGATGATGGACAGGATTTATAAGCAAGCTCAAGGCCTGAATTACATTTATGATCTAACAGAGTCAGCAAGATAAGCAGGCAAAAACCAGGCTAACAAACATTTTATAAGATTTATTTCTGCCACCTGGGCTAATGCCAAGGATTCTGGTTTGGTTTCAAAAAGCTACATTCCAATTCTAGGTGAGCAGATTAGATTATACAATTTTAATGAATTCCCCTTATCTTATCAAAATACTTAATGATATAGTACTTAAATTTATCTCAAAAATGTCACTGTTTTAGTGGACTGTTTATAACACTAATAATAAATGTGTAAGAAAATTTGTGATTTAAAAGTTAGGAAAAATATACTTTTCAAATCTATAATCAGAAAGAAATCGCTTATCACCAATCTTGATGACTAATGAATCTAGAAAGATTCTGATGTCTAAGATTTAAGTTAAGTTCTACATTTAAGGACTAGCTCTTCCAATTCTAAAACTAGATTAACTTCATATATCTAAAATTTACCTTGTAAATCTGAGGAATCACTACATAGAAATGTTTGTGTTGTTCTCCATTAAAGTTTTGTAATTGTGCAGCATATTCATTTTTATTCTCATCAGCCATATGTGTACGCAGATTCAACTGCTGTTTGGCCTAGGGACAAATTGTTCCAAATCATTACCAAGAACAACAAAATCATAACAATTCACTATTCTAAAAATTATACTAAAACTAGACCTTATCAATGAAGAAGTCAATACCTGACATCAAGAGAATAATGAAGTGGTGTGCCTTTTCCACATTCTTGATACCATTTAAAATTTAAGGAGACACTTGAAGATCTTATGGTCAGAGTGGTCTCCTTATTACAATATTCCCCTTCCCCCATTACCATAGTACTCCCCCATACAAATAATCTGTTCGAATAAATTATCTCCTTATCAAATCCAGGTTAAAAATAAATAAATGACAGCAGTATAGCTTGAAACAATGTGCTTTTAATCAAGAGAGAAAAACACATACATTCAGATACATTTCAGACTGTTAAAAAAGTTAGTAGTAACACATTTATCCACTCATATCCAACTAAAATAAGAAACTAAAATCACAGTGAAACTAAATAATGATAAAAATGTGATTTTTGAATAATGTAATATTCAACAATTTTCCATCTCTTTACATAACCAAAAGTACTTTAAAGAATGCTTTATTTAGAATATAGTTCTCTTCCTCTTGATCTCTCGTAGAAAGTCAAATTAGTTATCGTCTAACTAATTAGTTATTACCCCATCAACACACATAGGACAGGAAATCAATCTCAACAGCAACTATGTCTTTACTCTGAATTTGAATGCAGCTAACGTATTGTAATAAATGAACATATATTACTTTCTTAGACCAATATGTGTAATTTAAAGAAGGCAAATATTTCTATATTTTAGACTTAGAGATAATGTATCTCTTGAGGATATTCTAATACTGATACAAATGTGACTCCTTTTCATATCTGAGTAATAATATATTATTATCAAAGTTGGAGTATTCCTTACCTTTTCAACATCTGCCTTGGTTGCATTAGTATCGTTATCCAATCTTTCATAACTTTGTTGTGCCTTTTCTGCCTCTCTACATTCTCTCTCAAATTTCTTTTTACTCTATTAAAAAAATCAAAATAACACACTGAGAAAATAAAATTAGGTTATCTAAGAAATAACTTTAAAATGTTGGCACTTTGTATTATATAGAAATGAACTGCACATGAAAAGTAAAATTTGTACTTTCTAAATCAGAAAATAAATTTTACTATTATAACGAATCCATGTGCTTTATAAATATCAGGCATTAATTATGGACTACAAAGAAAAACATAGATATGAGTTAATGTTTAATATTTACTATATATCTCATCTCTCAATTAAAAAATGTGTATTTTGTAATTTTTTATTATAAGTTCATCTTCAGCAGGACTTTCTTGGTTTGGTGTTTTTGTTTAATTTTTGGTGACTGTTTGTTTTTATACTTTTTTGATGGAACCTCAACGTAGCTTGGGATGTGGAAGTGTCCCTCCGAAGTAGTTTTATGTTGTTTCTTACAAGTGTCCCAGGAAGACCTTTTGGTCCAGATAATAGGAGACCATCAGCCCAGACCGAGATCTTTTTAAAATTTTGTACTTAATTCAAATTACTATGACTTTGTAAAAGCTATTCACAACTAAGCCATGTAACATATATTTCTTTTCCTGCATACTTTCTTTTTAAATCCCGGAGTTAATACAAGTCGTCTTTTTTTCAATTTGCTTAGTTTTCAATGCACTTATCTCTAATTACACCCCTTTCTTCCCCAGTTTCTTAAATCTCTCTACAGTTAATTCTAACAAATTAGGAATTTTATCAATTTTATTACCATGAATAAATCTCTTCCAAAGGCTTCTAACCTGTTAAAGTTTGAACTCGTTATCAGGTAGGCCTAATCTATAGCTGTTACCTTGGGATTTCCTTCCCCCATTAATCTTGAGGTTCCTTTCACCTCTTTCTCTCTACTTGGATCTCCTATTTACCTCCTATTTCCTAGCCTCACGCTTTCCCCTTCTTGATTCACTTCCTCATTTTGCAAGAACACCTTCAGCAGTAGCTTCCAAAAAAAGTTTGCAGGAGATAATTTTTTGAGTCTCCATGGCTAAAAATGCCTTTACCATCACTTTTAACTGATAAAATCTGGCTGGATACAGAACTCTAAGTTGGAAATAATATTCCTTCAAAAATTTAAAAGCACTGCTCCACTATCTTCTGGCTTGCTGTGTAAGTGTCCAATATCATTCTGATTCCTGATCTATTGTATAAAGCATGTTTGTTTTTCTCTCTGGAGAGCGGTAGAATCTCTCTCTCTCAAGTATTATGAAATTTCAGGAATATTTGTCTTTATTATTTTTTTAATGACGCATAATAGGTGTACACAGTTTCAGGGTACATATAATTTAACACATTCATATAACTTGTAAATATCAAATTTGTGTACTTGGGGTATCCATCACCTTAAATATTTGTCTCCCTTATGCTAGAAACATCTGAATTATTCCCTTCTAGCTATTCTGATATATACAATAGATTATCATAAACTATAGTCACCCTACTAACAAACACTAGGTCTTATTTCTTCCATCAAACTATATTATTTGTATACCCAGGATGATATGTCTTGATGTGAGCATCTGGAAAATCTTTTCCATCTGGAAACTCATGTCTTTTGGTTCTGGGAAAATCTTCTTGACTTATTTTTGTCCATTTTCTGTGTTTTCTCTTTTCTGGGATGATTATTTTCAAAATGAACCTACTGGATGCATCTTCTAATTTTCTTATATTTTCTTTCATATTTTCAATTTCTGTCATTTTGCTCTACTTTTTGAGAGATTTCTTTTACTTTATCTCTCATTCTTTACAGTAGGTTTTTCATTTCTGCTATCACAAAGTTCTTTTTTGTTCTTTATATGTACCTTTTTTAATAGTACCTTAGTTCGTGGATATATTTTCTCTATTCCTTTTGAGAATATTAATAACAGTTTTGAGTGTTTTGTTTTTGCTTTTTAATTCTCGTTTCCTTTCATAATCACTGCTTCTTCTACACTGTTTTTCCTACATACTAGTTTTGATCTCTGATTTGCATTGCGTATTATGTGTTTCTTTAAATATCCAGGGATCCTTGGCCATCTGCTCTTATTTAAAAAAGCCAATTGAAAGCTCCACAGGTGGTGCTTGTGTATTATGGTATTTCCCTCTAAGGCCAGGTAGTTAGTTTCCACCCCAAGTATCAGTAAGTTTTTTCTCTAACTGATTAGGTTACCCAGGGAAACCTCTTACAATTTCTTACCTGGAAAATACATGCCTTGTGACCTGTATTTTGAGAAGTACTCACGAGAAGAAAGCAAGGGAACTCAGCATTTTGTATTTACCTAATCTCCTTTTTAGAACCAGTTACAATGTCAATTGCTCAAGTTAGGGATTACCAAACCATAAAAATAGTGCAAATTTGGATCCCAAACCTTATGACTACAAGATCTAAGGGTTTTAATTTCTCATAGGATACCTCTCCTCCTTTGACCTTCAGACAAACTTTCTTTGATGTCTCTCTTGGCCAATGAGCAGAATTATTATAATCCACTTTTCCCTAAAGATTTAGTCCTCCAGAGTTTCAAATTTTATACAAGGGTTGCAGTTCCAACTCCCCTAAAGCATACGGAGCTAAAACCTAATCTCTGTTCCTTTGTATTAAAACCCAAGCCCTTAGCAAGTACTGGGTCCAGTAAATCACCATACCCCAACACTCTTGCCCTCATTTTTCCAAATACCACTGTATCAGCTCATACACCTATTGCTCTGGTTTCATTTACCCTTACGTTCCTAGCAGTTAGAGATTTCCCTTTCCTTCGGGTAGCTAAGAATTTAAAACATGATTTTAAAAAATGCAATAGCTATTATATCTAGGTATTTGTAACCAAAAGGTTTTTAAGTCAGTTCAGTTTGTCATACAGTTAGAACCAGATAAACCTATAACTTACATCAAATAAATGTGCTCCAAAATATTTTACAAATTTCTTTAAATGTAGGCCTTATACTTAGTACAGGTATTTCGATTAGTATGAGACACCAAATGAGATACTAACAATTTATTCAAAGTACATAAAATGTCTGAATATGTTTCTTGGGATCATATGTTAAAAAAAAAACCTGAAGACATATATATATAATATACAGAATGTCACTTTCCTATGGAAATTAAGGTTAAACTTCCACATTTAGTTCTCTGAAACTCAGCTCTGAGTTTTCAAATTGAGTAGCTATAGGCTAATAATTTTGGTGCAAATTGAGGCTATTTATATACAAAAATATTTTTATATTAGGTGTCTTATTTATAGAAAAATACCTATAATAACGTCCTTGCAACAGTAAAAGTACTAGTACAATATTAAAAATACTTCTCTGAATAATATATCATTATACAATATAGAAATATACCCCAGAAAAGATTCTTTTCTTCTTCACCCTGTGTATGCCAGACTAATAACAGCCAATTCTACTCACCCACACTTGCTAAGCAGAGGCTGCCTCCCAGTATAGAGGCTGCCTCCCAGTATAGAGGCTGAAAATAGCTGACACCTGCTTCCCAGATTCCCCACAGCTGGGGCAAGTAATCTAATCTTGTAAAAGCTACCCCTGAGGAAGTCTGCTGGGGGTTTTCTGGGAAAGTTTTCCTTTCCTGATAAAAAGGGACAGTTAGAAGAGAAATATCCCCTTTTTACTGCCTTTGGATGCAGCTGAATGAGGATATGGTGTTTGGCTGCTTAAGCCAACAATTGACCATAAGGAGACAAGGCTGATGAAAGAAGCCAACATGGTCAAATGGCAAAGTGGACAAATGGAAAGGAGAGAGAGCCTTGGTGACATCACTGAGCTTCTGAACTGCTCCATTTTTTTTTTTTTATTTCAGCATATTATGGGGGTATAGATGTTTAGGTTACGTATGATACCCTTGCCCCCCTCCCCCGCCAAGTCCGAGCTTCAAGCGTGTCCATTCCCCGGATGGTTCACATTGCACTCTTTGTGTATGCATATACCCGTCCCCTCCTCTCCCCTCTCCCCTGCCCGACATTCAATAAATGTTATTCTTATATGTGCACTTATGTGTTCATCAGTTAATATGAATTTGATGGTGAGTACATGTGGTGCTTATTTTTCCATTCTTGGGATACTTCACTTAGTAGAATGGGTTCCAGCTCTAGCCAGGAGAATACAAGAGGTGCTAGATCACCATTGTTTCTTAAAGCTGAATAGTACTCCATGGTATACATATACATTTTATTAATCCACTCATGTATTGATGGACACTTGGGTTGTTTCCATATCTTTGCAATTGTGAATTGTGCTGCTATAAACATTCGGGAGCAGGTGTCTTTTTCATAGAGTGTCTTTTGTTCTTTTGGGTAGATGCCCAGTAATGAGATTGCTGGATCAAATGGTACTTCTACTTGTATCTCTTTAAGGTATCTCCATATTGCTTTCCACAGAGGTTGCACTAGTTTGCAGTCCCACCAGCAGTGTATGAGTGTTCCTATCTCTCCACATCCATGCCAACATTTATTGTTTTGGGACTTTTTGATAAAGGCCATGAACTGCTCCATTTCTGAGCTCTGTTCTTACAAGCTTGTATGCCCTGTTACTTGGAGCCTCCTAACTGATGGACCTGGCATCTCTGATGCTTCCGTCTTCTACTCTCTGACCATTCCTTCAAGATCTCCTTTACAGGTTCTTCTGTCCTCATCTTAAATGCCAGTGCCGCCTATTTTATTTATCCTGGGGTTAGCAGCTATCTTTTAATTTTTTTCTCAATTTTTAATATTCTGTCACTAAGTCAATTTGATTCCACCAGTTCTTTATATCTCTTCTCAATTATTTCAAACATGTTAGGAATTTTACAATTTCATTTTTTTGACTAAACAGGAACACATGGAACTAGAAAATGGGAGCCTACACTTGCTTCTACATATTAAATAGAAATTATATTTGTCAGTCTCCCCCACTAGACTGCAGGCTCTATAAAAACAAGAACCACGTCATATTTATTTCTGTACCTCCAGGGTACAAAAGGATACTTTAGATAAACACAAGTGGAACTCACCTTTTTCTCATAGTATTGTTAATGCCTAAAGGAAATCTCTCCTACATTTTTTATGCTTATGACCTCTATAACTTTTGCTTAATAACTGTCAATTGTCCTAAAGACAAGTCAGCACATACTAACAAGAATGATTTGTGCCAACACCAATTTTCAAAGGAACCAATAACTCATGAATGTAGGAGTGTGTTATTTTGTGCAAATGAAAACATACACATTGCACACAATCATTAGGTGGCAGATACTAAAGATTCTAGTTAAGGCAATGTAAAATTTAACCAACATAAATACTCCCTAAAAATCTGGCTAAAACCAATTAGAAAGAAAATCAAAACAAAAATGAAAACAGACTATTAATATACCTAAGAATTCAGAATGGTGATTAGAAACTTACATCAGTGACAGTTATACAGTAGAACTTTAAGCTTTGAATATGTGCTTTTAAAGGGAAAAGAAAGGCTGAAAACAGTGGAATCATATGCATGAGATTTTTTTAAATGTCAAAGTCCTTTTTCTAAGGACTAAATTGATTAATTTAACATGAAAAACTCCCTTCAGCATAATTTTCAAGGAATTCCATGTCCGCCAGAGAAATATGCTGGTAAAGAACAAATTGTTTGATAACCTAAGGGTTTAAAAAGAATATCTTATATTATAGAACATCATTTAATAGAACATTTTAAGTAAAGGTAACCACAGTGTTCAATGTAGACATCTTATTTTTCAAATTACTACACACCAGAACATTTAAAAAAAACATTAGCAAGTATCTTGGAAAATTTTTTAAATAAATAATTATTACATTTTTATAATTTTGCCTATGAAGTATTTAATTTCCTAAAATGGGATGGTCTCTGACTAGAAAGGTAATATTAGGAACATTTACAGAATTACAGAATCCTAGTCTGATCAAGAGTGAGACCCCCATCTCTACAAAAAAATAGAAAAAGTTATCCAGGTGTGCCTGTAGTCCCAGCCACTCAGGAGGCTGAGGCAGGAGGATCCCTTGAGCCTAGGAATTTGAGGTTGCAGTGAGCTATGATGACACCACTGCACTCCAGCCCAGGCTACAGAGCAAGACCCTGTCTTAAAAAAAAATTATAGAATCGCTGAACTGGGAGAAACATTTCATATAATCTAGTACACTCTCTTCATTTTTCATATGCTAAAAATCAAGTCAAGAGAAATTAAGTGCTAAGGAAAAGGTAGAAGTAGAATCTTGGTTCTCTCAGCTTCAGTCAAGAGTCTTCTAAGATTTATCACTATTGCCCTATTATTTCTCTCCTCTATTAATACTTTATAGTAACTTCCATAAAGTAAAAAAGAATCTCCCTAAATGTTCACAATGATATAAAGATTACAGAGTTCATTTAAGTACAGACTTATACAGAAAAAAAGAAAAATGACAAAATGATCTCACACCCTCCATTTATACTTTATTGACTATTACACAACAAAACCCATGTCAAATTATGAATAATACACTGAGAAACAATAAACTCAAACAGATGTGAAGCATAACAGAATTTAGGGCTAACCTAGTCAACAAAATTTATGTCAGCCATGAAAACATCATAACTCACATTATCCATCTGTTTCCAGCACATGTCAAGGTATTGTTGAGCTTTTCGTCCTTCTTGGAGATGCTAAAGATTATAATCACCAACAAAAAACAAAATAAGACAAAGCAAACAAAAATAACTATATTTAAATATGAAACAAAGGCTAAAGTCCCAAAAATGGTAATTATTTTTTCAAGACACTAATTATATAACTTTACCAAGACCTAACAAGATCTAGAAGGAAAAGCAGAACTAGAACTCTCTAAAATGCATTTTATAGGGTATTATTTTAATACTTTAAGTATAACCTTTAAAAATAGATATAACATTCAGAAAAATGACTGCTTTGAATAGGGGTTATTTTCTATAAAAGGTCAGATGATAAATATTTTAGGCTTTGCAAGCCATACTGCCTCTGTCATAAATACTCAACTCTGCAGATATATATATTTTATATATATATATATAAATAATGCAAAAGCAGCCACAGACAATATGTTATGGATCTGTTCCATTAAATTTTAATTATGGACACTGAAATTTAAATTTCACAGAATTTTCACATGCCATGAAATGTTATTCTTTTGATTTTTTTTTTCAACCATCTAAAAATATAAAAGCCATTCTTAGCTTGTGGAAACTAGGAAACAAAAACAGGCAGTAGTCTGGATATGGCCCATGGGCTGTAGTTTGCCAAACCCTGGTCTTAAATCCAAAAGGATCATAAATTAGCAAGAGTATTTTGCGATAATTTTTAGCTAGAAGAAACTTAGTGAAATAGAAAACCAGTTTATGCTGAACACACTTTTTAAAAAACACAAAGTAATTATTTCTGTGAAAATATTTCATATACCATTGTAACTGGATAAAAATTGTAAGAATTACCATTTTTCTTTCAGTTTTCAGATCATGAGCATATCTCATTAATTCACCATATACTCTGTGCGCCATTTCTTCTGCTACTACTTCTCGCTGTCCTGCATAGTCATTTAACTCATTAAGGATGTTAAAAAAGGCTATACACGAGGTAAACCTGGCAAAACATATTTTAAAATGGTGAGATTTATTTTTATCTTCATTACAAATGTTTTTGGTAAGCTATGGATTGACGAATTTTAACCTACTAAACCTAAATCTCAGCTACTAGTTCTATAACTTCACATGGAAAGAATCCTACATTAAGTTCAAGCTGTACATGTTTGTATATCTTCAAGTAGTCTTTAATTTATTAGTAAAGGGATATTTGGGGTCAAAAAATAGTAAGAATACTACCTGCAGGCTCTTTTGGCATACTGGAATCTCTTAAGTTGCCAACTGACTGGCCTGAGCTTGGGAATGAACTTGGTTGCATTCCTAGGCTTGGCAGCTGAACCTGTTGCAGAGATGATGTGCTTGCTCTCGAGGACAGAACCTGCCAATCATACCACTCAAATGCATCTCGATGGCTGATCTACAGAACAACTTTGCTATCAGCTCTGGACACAGCTGCCTGTATGCCTGCCCACATCCTGAATGGAAGTGAGTGAAGTGCCATTATGGTTGGCACCAAAGGGGGACAGAAGGGTCAAAAATAAGGGTAAAAATGTGTGTGGAGGGAAGGAGAGAAACAAAGAGAATCACTGTATATATCTACTTTGAACATACTGTGGAACACTCTCTTATAGCTAAAGACTGACAGCTCAAATAGGACTCCATTAACACGAAACCTAAGAATCCTAACAACTAACAATTATATGTAAAGTTGTTTGCTTGTTTAAGTCCAGTCTCTTTTTGTTTCTGCATTTTACAGTCATCCACATATTCCTCTTTAAGACTGCCAAAAAGTTCATAGGCAATTCCTAACCTTTTATTCAGGGTTAAAAAATTATTCTAAATATCTCAGTCGTTTTCATTATCCCTTTAATCCAATCAGCCGAATTGTTTTACTATCTGTAAGAGTAAAAAGAAGACTCTAACAAGCTGACAACTACAAAATAAAGTATGAAAAAAATACCCTTTTCTTCTGGAGACAAATAACTCAAGTAGAGTCCTAATTTATATTTTACTCAAAAATCCACACTCCACTATTCTAGAAAACTATTGATCAAGGCCACTAAAATATTTCTCCTCATAAAAGACAAACAGTAATTTGCACTTTCATAAACAGTAATTTTTTTAAATTAAAAATCTTAATAAAAAAGCTAACAGCGTATTTTACTAAATAATAAAAATATAAGTATTTTTAAATTATTTAATATGTAATAATAAACATGCACATAATTTACCTTGGCTCTTCATCTTTGGATGAACGTTTGGGACAGTACTTCTTAACCAGATTTCTATAAGAAGAAGATTTTTAAAAATTTATAAAATTTTTTTGTTGAAATTGAAATATTCTTATAGCTTTCAATTTCATTAAATGAAGAATTTCATGATAGCAAACAATTAAGACAGCAATATGATCATCCATTCCATTAACATCATAATATGATCATTACTTATTACATTTTGTTCTTAAAATACTGATGCCTGTAGAAAGAAAGGTTATTTCTGTATTTATATGAGAATAATTATAACAATTTGGTTGATTATACTTGATTATGCTATGAAATAAGAAAAGAGATAAGAGGAAGAATAGGAAAAACAAAGTACAGTTGGCCTTCCGTTATCCCGGAGTTCTACATCTGCAGATTCAACCAACCACAGGTCACAAATACTCAAATAAATAAATAAATAAAAATACAACAACAAAAATAATACAAATTAAAAAATAGTATAGCAACTATTTACATAATTTACATTGTATTAGGTATTATACGTAATCTAGAGATGATTTAAAGTATACAGGAGGATGTGTGTAGGCTATATGCAAATACTATGCCATTTTACATCAAGGACTTGAGCGGCCACTGGTATCCACAGGGTTCCTGGAACCAATCCCCCTTGGATACAGAAGGATGAACATGAAACTCAGCATGTGAAACTGAGTCATGGCAAAAAAACACATTTCAAAGAAATACCAAAACTCTTGTTTTTCCAAATCAGGGATTTTAATGCTAACTAAGGTAAAATGTAAGCAGATGCTGACTCACTAAGGGGATAAAAGAACATTTGGTCACCATCCTCTGTAACTCCACTTTTATATGAAAATCATTACATGGCTCCTTTACCTTCTCTTTTCTATGCAAATGAATTACATTCTGACTTATATTAATAACTGTCTTTGTCTACATCCCTAACATCTTAACATCCTTAAAATAGAATGCTACCTTATTTCACCTTTGCAAAATCAAAAATATACTAGCACATAGCAGGGCATGGTGGCGCATGCCTGTAGTTCCAGCTACTCAGGAGGCTGAGGCAGGAGGATTGCTTGAGCCCAGGAGTTTGAGGCTACAGTGAGCTATGATGATGATGATGCCATTGTACTCTACCCAAGGTAACAGAGCGAGACTCTGTCTCAGTAAAAAATCAAATCAAATCAAAGAAATTCACAGTTATCACTGGTTGTAAAATAAGGTGCAGGATGAAAGCATTATACCTCATATTCATATATTTTTTATCAAAAGCTTTATTAATATTTAAATCATCACTATACTAATACATGCACATAATTTATAAATAACTGGACAGGTATATGTGAAAACATTTTTTTTATAGATGATCAATAAAAAGTTCAAAGATCCCTGGACTAGAGAAATCAAATATATAGATACTTTTATAAAACATAATATGGTAAGACTAGGGGGCTCTATAGAGGGGTTCCGCCAGGGCAAGTGCGTATGGTGACATTTCTGATTCCCTGATTAAGCCTAAAGAAGTAAACAAGAATTAAGCAACTGACCAGGTGCGGTGGCTCACGCCTGTAATCCTAGCACTCTGGGAGGCCGAGGAGGGAGGACTGCTTGAGCTCAGGAGTTCCAGGCCAGCCTGAGCAAAAGCAAGACCCCCTCTCTACTAAAAATAGAAAAATTAGCCAGGCATGGTGGCAAGCACCTGTAGACCCAGCTACTCAAGAGGCTGAGGCAAAAGGATCGCTTAAGCCCAAGAGTTTGAGGTTGCAGTGGGCTATGACGCCACTGCACTCTACCCAGGGTATCAGAGCAAGACTCTGTCTCAAACAAACAAACAAACAAAAAAAGAAAACAAGAATTAAGCAACTGGAAAACCCTGGGAGTGGGATTCCAAATAGAGAAGATCTAATGAGCAAAGGCAAAGAAGGCAAAAAAAACAGCATTTATGAAGAACTAGGAGTGGGTTCAATGTTGCTGGAACATCAAATGTGAGCCGAGAAGTCAGGTTAAGGAATTCTAAAATACTCTTAACCAGTGGTTCTTAATCATGGTTACCTGAAACACTACCCAAACTCAATGCTACGAACAAATTAATTTATTAATTCATCCAAATACCGCAAAGTTACTATGGGCTACACATTAATTATTTCAAGTACTAGACTGACAGAAAGAAAGGGATGAGTCATAGCTAGCAAACTAGTAATTGTGCATGACCTACAGTCCTTTCTAAAAGAGAACTCTAAAAGGAAGATGGGAAAAAGATGATGAATAGGAGAGTTAATTAGAAAAAGCAAATTCACAGAGACAGAAAATAGATTAGTGGTTGCCAGTGCATGGGGGAGGAGGAAATGACTGCGAATGGGTACAGGGTTTCTTTTGGAGCTGCTGAAAATGTTCTAAAATTGATAGTGTCGATGGCTGTGCAAGTCTGTAAATATACTAAAAACCACCGCTTTTAAAGAGAAAATTTTACGGTTTATGAATTATACCTCAATAAAGCTGCTATATGAGAAGGAATGGCTTTTGGTAGGCAGTCCATCTGCCAAAAGCATCTCAAATTCAACAAGTCCAAAATGGAATTTATCTTCTACAAGCTTTATTTTTTTCCTCACATGAATGGCACCACTATCCATTTAGAGTCTAGACACTTAAGGCAAAAATTTGCCAATCACCCTACACTTTTTCCAGTTTCTCCTACCTCAACATGTTCAAGTCCTATAAATTCTATTTCCTAATTAGCTTTTTTTTAAAAATAACTTCTATAATAAAAAAGAAACCAACATTACACAAACATAAGACCCTTCTTCTTCCCACTTTTTTATTGCTTTGGATACAGATCTGTGAGGTCCGGATGCTTGAAGCAACTGCAATATCTTGCAACCATGAGGGAGAAGACCAAGAGATTCATGAAAATACCACTAAGCTTTAGAATTCCTTGCTTCCGAACCTCTTGGTATGTAAGAAAACTGTTACTTGCAGCTGAATGCTTCATAACTGACACTATAAAACAGCTAAAGAAAAATGTCCAATAGAGATCTGTGGTAAAAACTGGAACTCTAAAGAAACTTCGGGATCAAGACACAGATGTGAGAGTCAACATGTGTGAAGATGATTAACAAAAACAACAGGAGCTACCATTTGTCAACCATATATTATCTGCCAATCTTCATGCTAAACTCTTTACATATAATCGTATGCTAACAATTGCAAGCAAGTATTATTAGCCTTAATTTACAGAACTCAGAAATATTAATTAAGTAACTCGCCTATGGTCACAGAGCTAATAACAGGCAAAGCCAAAACCTACTCCAAATCTGATTCCAACACTTCAGATAGTTAACATAATGAATGTGAATGAGGCTACTCAAGAAATGTAAAATGAAAAGGTGACTAAAGATAATGTATGTATTGTCTATGGCTGCTTTTGCACTACAACAATAGAGATGAAAGACAGCAGAGTTGAGAAGCTGTGACATATGGCCCATAAAACCTAAACTATTTATTATGTGGCACTTTATTTTAAAGAGTTTGCCAACCACTAATATAGATAACTCAGAAAACCCAAGAGAGTCTTTCGTTGAAGACAAGATTTTTTTAAAGAAGTTCTAAGAAAACAGAAAACAGTCAATTCATCCAAGAAATAATAAAACAGGTACCTAAAATATTCATCGAATGTAGCTTTTAGCAGATAACTGATTAACTTAGCAGTGTGGTTATGGTAGCCATGGTCTCCAACCTATAAGTGGGTTATATTCTAGAAATTACTTTTAAAGTCAGTCGTTTTCAAACACAAACTCATGAATAACTTTAAACAAAAACAAGTCAAACTCAGGCAAAAAACATTTCATTGAATGAGTGGTTTCAAACTCTGGTTGCATTTTTGTATATTTAACATTTTAAACATTGTTTAGTGTCCCAGGATGTAGTAGGCACTTGTTTTATCTACCTGCATCACTATTCTTCTTTATAAGAGCTTGTGACAGACACATTTATGCTCATTAAAAACCATGTTATTTCACACACTTCCCAGGCCCCTACCAGTATGGCAAGACCATGTGGTCAATTCTATATAATGGGCTGTGAGTTCTGTAATTAGCAGGCTAAAGCATTCAAAGCCTGTGTACAACCCTCTGCTGAAGCAACTGTGAAAGTGTCATGATGAGATGAAGATAGAAATAGAATAGATTGTTGAGTTACCACATGGGCTGCCCTAGAGAGTCTGATACTTTGCATTAGTGAGAAATAAACTTTTAATCATGTAAAGTTTATTTGGAATTTATTGTTCCAGTATAGCCTAGTATATCATAAAATACAGCTTCTCCGTTGTCATGTCTATATACCTGTGGTGGGGCTGGCCGCAAATTAAGGTCCAGGAGTATTTATTTGATCCAGGCCCATTCTTCCAGGCCAATGAAAGTTGATCCTAAAATTTCTATTGTAATTGTTGGAAAGATGTTCTCTTTCTGCTGAAGTTGTTAAATTGACAGGACATAATCCTAGACCCATGGGGGAAGAGTCTACTTGGGAATTAAACCAACAGAGAGAAAAGCAAAACCAAGAAAAGAAAGATCCTTAACACTTCTCTTGAATACATGGATCCCTGAACTTTTCAGTCACATAAGCCAATAAATTCCTTTCTTTGCTTAAATCAATCTGAGTTGAGATTCTGACACTTAAAAGAATTTTGACTACTACAAAGGTTAACCACAAAAGTCATAACACACCTTAAACATAGCCTAACACTAATTTGAACTGTAGTTTCTGAAAGGAAGAACACATGTAATCACAAGAAGCAAGAAGAGAAAAAAAGTAACTTTACCTTTACCTTTTAAGCATGCAGGGTTAGTCCTAAGCAATTTTTTAAATAAATCCCTCTTGCCTCGCTGTATGTAAACTAACCTATCTATAGGCGACTCTTCCCAAACTCTAAATATCCAGAGCCCTCAGATAGCACATACAAGTCACTAAAGACTCCATTCAAGTCAACCCTGCGACTTGAAAATCTGCAACATGGTCTACAATGTGCTGTTCTAGTTTTCCACCAA